GGGATAGCATTCCTTCCCAGAAGGACACTAGCAGAAGACAGTTACTGGTTGAGGCATTATTCCAGTACACAGAGTGCTTTCCTGGTACCTCTGTGCTTAACCCTTCCCCCAGCTCCCAGGCTCTCCACCTCCACAGCCAGAGGCAGGAGTGCTCCAGGTGCCCGGCCTCGGCACAGGCAAAGTGCCCTGAGAAAGCACAGCACGGCTCAGTGCCTGCTCCAACACGTCTCCTGGCTGGCCTTTGCCTTGCCTCCAGCTCTGCTTGGTGGGAAAGGCATAAGCTGATGTTCACAGAGGCCTCTGTCTCCGGGCTGGTAATCCCAGAGCAGACAAAGGCTGATATCAGTTTCGTGGGAGACCAAGCTGGAGCCAGCAGCTGGATCCTGCTGCAAGCAGCACCAAACCCCAAGCGACTGGGGCTTGGTCATTGTCAGGCTGCTTGGACAAACATCATTATAATCTGGTCTGTGCTTAACAATCAGTACAGCTGTTGATAATGAGCTGGAGAAATTGCCCTGTTAGTCTGAAGCCAGGGAGACCACTGGACTTCCCATGGATCCTGATGTGTCACAGGTGCTGTCTGGACACTCGCTATGCAGCCAAAGGCACAGCTCCCTGCTGGCAGTCCCTTCCCCAGACACAGTGCTGCTTATTCACCCCCAGCAGCCACCCCTGCTTCCCCCAGCACCCACATCTGTGTCCTCCTGACATGCTCCTGCACAGCTGGCAGCTCCAGGACACACTGGGCTTGCTGTCCAACACACAGCAGATGGCTGTGATTCCCTCCTCCATGGGGCAGCCCAGCACCTGCAGCATCCTGCAGAAAGGAGCTCTACAGATCACCACACTCTGTTTTGAACATCCTTTTCACCAATTTTGATGTCTCCCATTGTCTGTACAAACTTCTGCCTTGTATGGCTTGTGGTCTCATGGACCACACCATAACCCCCTGGCCTGGAGGGTTCCAGTCAGCCAGGCTTGCCCCACACAGAAGCAAAGGCCCTCTCTAAACCTCTTTCATTTTTTACCAACAGACCATGTTGATATGCCATAAATTTTGGCAATACATAACAATTAATTCCACTTTGTTCTCCTTCCTCATAGCTCCACATCTTTATTTAGTCCCACAGAGACTTACCCACTTCTCCCACTGGTGCCTAGTTCCCCTACAAGCCCCCTGTGAACAGCCTTACCACCAGCAGAACAAGCTCCTGAGTTTTCAGGCAGCAAGTACTCAGGCATCTTCAGCACCTGGAAGATGCAGAATGCTGCATGAGGGCTAACCAGGAGCCCTCTGCAGCCTGTGCTCATGTTCCCACCCTTTATCACAGCTTCTGCCTTCAGGCTGGGCTGGACAGTAAGAGAGAAACCCTGAGAACTCCCCCACATGCTGCCAGGGGGAGGAGATCACTACACCCAGAGATGCTGCTACTCCCCAAGGAGACAGCCAGTTTCAGCAGCCAGGAAACTCTGCTACCTCCAATTTGTCAAATACCATCTTCAGTCAAGTCCTGCTAAACACCCTCACTCCATGTGAAGCACAGTACCATCAGCCAGGTTTCTGAGCCTCCCCTGAACTAATGGGACTCCACTCCTCTGTCTAAATTGGCAGAGATAACCCACAAAGCTGCTTCTGTGTCATGTCTCATTTTCCCTGTGCTTCTTACTCTCCCACAGGGCCACCCTGCTGCAACACCAATGAAATTGAACACCAAATGGGAGTTTTCAAAGCTCTACCCAAGCTGCTGGATGCTGCTGGCTGTCCCTTGGCCCACCAGCTCCTTAGGAAGAACACTTGGTAAATAAATTTTTCTTGGAAACAACCTTGGGCCAAGAATGGGCACAAAGAATTCCCTGGGGAGCTCCCAGCCTTCCCAGGCTGCCCTTCTGTCACATTAACTCCTCCTCCCCTCACTTGTGGCACCAGGAGCCTGTCCCCAGACCTTGCCTCCCAGACAGACCTGCCCAGACATTACTACTTCATGTACCCATAGAAGGGTGATAAAAAGCTTGCTGGGCTGCCTGATTTACACAACTAAAATGACAAGTGATAGAGGGATCAAAGCCAGTCAGGAAGGAAGAGGTCCCCTCTGGATGGGCCCACTGAAAAGGAAAGTGAAAAGATCTGGGTCCTTGTTCTCCCTCCTCCTCTTTGCACTGCTCTGTGAGTCTCAAGACCATTTCATGCTGGCATTGTCCTCATCTTGGCAGCTCCTTCTAAGCCTGAACCTGCTTGTCCTCTCTGTGTAACTTTCCCCTCACTTCCCCCTTCCATCAGAACCATTCTGATGGATCAAGCACTGCTCCAGCTCCCTGGGCCGGGCCACACCACATTAAATCGGGATTTATGAGCCTCGAGCACAGACAAGAGTTATGCAGTCTGCACTTCTGCGTGCTGCATACCAACTCCCCAGCTGGTTTAAATCAGATTAACTCCACTGATGTAAGACATTTAAGGCAAGAGTGTTCCATGATTTACACCAGCTAAGAAGCTGTTATATTATAACTTGGCAGCTGCAGGTTTTAGATGTGAAGTTTTTTGGGCAAAGATCCCAAGCAACAGTAAACGACAGAGCAGCTGAGTGGCAAACCCCATTTAACCTCAGTGCAATGTGCATGCAGCCAGCGCATGTCCCACAAAAGTCCCTAAAAAAAAATAAAATAACCTGGTCTTCCTTTTTTAGTGCCACCAGTCTGCAAAGTCAATGTCCCATCATAATCCATAGAATCCAAACAAATCACTAAATTATGATACTGTGGAAATGCTTCTCTTCAAAAAATGATATATTTGGTAAACTAAAGCCAGGCAATTTTAGTAAAAAGGTCGCTTGCTACTGAAAAAATCCCCATACACTGATTAATGCAAATGCAAATGAACACACCAGAGAGTTTAGTATTCAGATCAGGGCCTTCATTTCTGCTAGAAGATGCTCAAGCTTCCAATCAAATCTGGATTCCACAAAAAAGTGGGGCTAATGCTGTGGAGCCAGACGTGCTTGGAGAGGTGCACAAAAAGACACAGCACGCAGAGCAGAACACAACATTCAAGGCAGAAGAAATGGCAAAGAAATACACCAGGAAAAATGGTAATACTGCCTGAAAAATGGAAATACTGCCTGAAAAAGAGGGCTTGGTCCTTTCTCCTCCAACTTAGCAAAGTGGCTTGTTCAGCCCAGTAGATACTGCTTGTCAGAGTCAGGAGGGCAGCAAGAGCCCAGTGCCATTCCCACATCACCTGCAAGCCTGCGAGTGGCAGCAGAGCTGCAGCCTTTCCTGTGCCTCTCCTTCAGTGCTGGCTGCACAGGGAGGAGGCTGGTGAGCTCCACCAGCCCCATAAATCACCAGGCACCCAGCACAGCAAACCTGACCTCCCTTGCAAGGGAAATATAAATCAGCTTTACTAGCAGCTTCTGAAACAAAAACTAAACTCACGAAACTGTAAAAATGCCTCTTTAAACATCCTGTGCCCTGAACAGACCATTGAAAGCCCTGTCAGGCTGAGGGACAGCAAACAAGCTTTCCAAGAGATGAGGGCTGATGAACTGAGAAAAGGCATTTCAGACTGAGCAGCTTCTTGCTAGCAGGCAGCACGACAGGGATATCTTTAGCACACAGCAAAGACAGAGTAAGGAAACAGGAGTGAATTAGCCAGCATTAATACCATCATTTGTATGCAGTGTACTTCAAAGCACTCACAGTGCAGACAGCACCAGACACACACAAAATTACCCAAGTCTGGGGGAGAGCCATGTAGAGCACATTTACTGGAGCCCACAGAGTAATGATCAGTGAGCTGGGATGGGACCCTCAGGGCCACCACTGCCCCACTGTTTAATGAGCTAGTGTGGGAAGGCCATGCCACGAGGACAGAGGCAAGTCCACAAAGGACAGAGGAAGTCTCATGAAGCACAGTAGAGGAAGGAGCTCTTAAGTAGAGCCAAACTAGGACAGGACTCAGCAGGGCCACAGGTGAGGTGTACTGGCTCACATCTCAGCAACAGTGCACCTGAGATCCATGGTAGAAAGTCTGGAGGGAGTATTAGAGCTGGGCAGAAGCTCCAGATGCCAAGGAAGCTGCTGGTGCCAGCAGTGCTAGCCCTGGGTACATGCACACATGTGGGAACAGGTCACCATTGCATGACATCCACAAGCAGCTTTGAGAGGCTGGTCACCTCCTCCTGGGGCAGGTGTAGGGCCAGGCAGGGTCCTGGGGCTCCTTGCCACCACTGCCACCTGCAGCCTGCCATGCCCTGGGAGGACATGTGACCAGCCCAGAAAGGGATGCTGCCATCACTGGTGCATCAGGCCAGCCAGGCAGCTGGCAGGGAGAGCCCAGGGACAAGCAGGGCTGCAGGAGCTCCAGTGAAGGGGTTTGGAGCCCAAAGACACAAAACCCTATTTGTGCAACCAAAGACTAGAGAGCATGCTGGTTCCATGAGAGGCAACTACACACAGCCAGGGGAGGGAAATGGCATCAGCTGAGCTGAGCCCCTTCTGCCAGTTGCCTTGTTTTCCTGCAGAGTTCTTGTTGTTTCTGCACTTGATAACAGCAGAGGCACAATACGGAAACTTAAGTGATCAGTGGCTGCTAATCAGCAAAGCTTTCCAAAAGCTCCCTAAAGCCAAGAGGAAAGACTCAACAACTACTCCCTGCTGATACTCAAGAGTGCACAGCTACACCACAGACACTTATTTCTGCTGGCACCACAAGGGGAAGGGGGCTGTAAACACACACAGAACAGGCCTGCTTGCTCTGTCAGGCAGAGCCTGTCTCACCTCTTATCATCTCAGGGCGTAAAAGCAGGGCGAGCTGCCATGTGATAAGGAGACCTGGATGAGGTCTTGGACTGCTAAGTCCATCACTCTGCAGAAAGGAGCAGAATCCTAGGAGTCCATCCCAAAAGTTTATTAGCTTTGTATTTCAAATACCACCGGTTAACATCTCTGTGCAGAAGAGAAAGAGAGCCTGTGTTGCTGGAGGCAGCAGAGCAGAGACCTACCTTTGGGCATGATGTGATGCATTGCAACTGACAGGAAGAAGATGGAGTCGCTGTAGTAGGTCCCCGATCCAGCACTGAAGTGTTTCTGCATGGCCTCAACGATGGGAAACAGCTTTTCTGTCAGCTCATTCACATCATGGACGATTACCTGGCAGAGACACCAGAAACACCACTCAGCCACTGCTCCTGGGGACAGGCCCAGCTCCAGCAGCCTCTGCCCAGCCCCCCCCAGCACAGGGCGGGGGGGAGGTTGGTAAAGCACAAACAGTGCTGCTGGCACTGCAGCTGCACAAAGGGGCCCGCCTGCCCTGGCCCCTACACATCCTCTTGATGCAAGAACTGGCCAAGTGCAGGGACAGGAGGACTTTCACAGCCATTTTGTAACTGTAAGGTGGGCAGAGACTTGAATCCCCTCACACAACCAAGTATGTTCCATGTTTTGGGCTGTTTCTCTGGTCTGTTCCCTTCCCACTGCATGATGCAAGCACATATCTGGTCTCCCATATGGAGCCCATCAGAAGAGGCAACAGCTCGCTCCAGGCTCTGGTGTGCTGCTGTTTAGAGCCAAGCCAGACCACATCACTTACCCTGAGGACCAAGGCTTGCTCCCTCCTACAGAAGCAGGCTGTGACAGGGCCAGGGACACAGCCCAGATTTGCTGCTCCTCAGCCTGGCATGGAGGCAAGCTCTGCAGCATGTCCCGGCGGGGCTGCAGGGGGAAAGGGAGGACAGGCCGCAGCACGCTGACGAAAATCCAAACATCAGGAGCTACAGCACAGCAGAGCAACTTCTGTAGATGGATCTCAGTCTGTCTGTGCTGGAGTTTTGCTGGTGCTCAGCCAGCCCTGCTCTGCATCTCTCAGCCCTGTGGGAGCCCATGCACCAGCACGGGCCCTGGCACGCCTGCGCCAGCCGTGGCTGTGTCCCAGAAACAGGAGCAACCCCAAATGCACCTTGCCAGCTACTGACATTTTACAAGCTTGTAATTTATTTTGGTCAAAGTCCAATGGACAGGAGCTTTCATGCAGCTCGTTATACCCACAGAAGGATACAGGCCACTGAATCACACAAGATAATGAGAGGGATTTTCAAGATAATTAAGAGAGATGAGGGACATGACCCTGGTGCAGATAAGGGGGAGTGCAGGAACTTGAGTGTGGAGACCTGGGGTCGTGCTGCTTTCTTCAGGTCAGGGAAAGCACGAAAAGCCCTGATGAAACTAAAGTCCAGCAAGGACATGACATTGCAGCAGTACTTGAATTTTGTGCAGGGGAACCTATCGCCCTTGTTTGAGGGATACCAAGACACTTCCACAAGCTGGCCCCACCTTCAGCAGGGAACACAAACCACAATCTTTGTGGCTTGCTTTCAAACTAAACTATTTCAACAGGTCTACAGTTTCACTTATTTTCCCTACTAAAACTTCATGTGCTTAAAAACAAGGGGCCCTGCACTATATACTTAAAACATGCAAGAGAAAGCACTTGCTTTAATTTTTTTTTTTTTAATTAAAAGAAAACCTAAACCAAGCCAAATGCTTCAGAGGAGGTGGCTCTGGAGCCTGTGCTGGTGCAATGACCATCCTCTCCATGGGGTGCACAAAGGGCTGCACTGATGCTCAGCTGGTGCAGAGACTGAGGCAGTGAGCAGTCTGGAGCTTCTCCTTCCACAGCTTTTTGCAGAACACATTGCTCAGACCAATGCACTCTCACGGCAGAGTGGAGCTTGCTGGATACAGGGCTGTGCTTGTGGCACCCACGGTACTGAACACACTGAGGTGATGGGGCTGTGCTGGCACTGGCCAGGATGGCTGAGCCAAGGGAGGGCAGTGCTGGAGGACAGGCACAGCTGGGGCCCTGTGCTGGGGAGGGCACCCTACACACCCTGGCCCTGTGTGCAGGAGGCCCCGCGCAGGCTCCGTGGCCAGCAGGTCCCTCGGCGGGGCGGCCCCGTGCTGCTGTCCCGGCTGCTGGGCTGGGAGCCAGGGCCTGCAGAGAACAGCAGGAAAAACACAGAACAACACGTTCCAGGAAAGTGCATTGGGAGAGCTCATCAGCAGCCACACCTGGCTTTGGGTAGCACAGCACAGTCCCCAAGACACTGCAGGGGAGGAAACTCTGTTACTGTTCGGCAACACCTCACCCCGGTTGTGCCATCGCGGTGACAGCGGCCACGCCAAGCAGGACAGCAGCCAAAGGTGACCAAACAAGCAAACCACCACTACTCTCCAGGTGCAAAGGCACTGCCAGCCTCTTCATGAAACTGAGCACCACCAGCATGGGGATGTGTGATGCTCTGCTCCCAGCCCAGCTTGGCAGGGGCAGTTTTGGGGTCTGGCTGGGCTGGAGAAGCATGGAAGAGAAATACACCACCCTTCTGCATCCAGAAAAGGCAGCCTGAGGTGTGTACAGCACATAAAAAAGGGGGGAAAATGCCAAACCAATTCCAGTCACCTCTGAAGTGAGCACACTGCCAAGCACCAGTGGACAAAATTTATAGGAGAAATACTCCTGAAACTCGAGACACAGCATCATCTGCCTTTCCACTCCTGCCAAAGAAAACAGGAAAAACATGTCTTTTGCCCAATCTTTTGTACTTCTGCAAAGCAAACTCCTGAGCAGCTGAATTTTGCTCATGCAGCCACAGGCCAGGCAGTCTCTCTGGGACTGTGAAGGCTTCTTCCCTCCTCGTTGCTGATTTTAGCACAGCTTGTTAATCTGCTGCTAATTTTGTACTTCGTTATTTATTAGTGTAACAGGTCTTAGTAAATCCCTGTAGCTAAATCCAACCACGTTTGCTGAGGACATTAAGAAAAGTTCTAGGGGTTTCCTGTACAAGCACAGTTTTATAAACACAGGTCATGCTGATGAGAGGTCCTTTCTAGTGATTCACTAAGAAAAAACAACCTGCATTTCTTTTTCCTTTAACTTTCCCTCCTTCCCACGTTGATCATCCTCACAGGTCTCCATAAGTATGGTGTGATGACAGCCCAGTTACATCCACCCCAGCAGTGTCCTTCATGGGGCTCATCTGAACAGGAAACCGGGATGAGCAGAGAGCCGAACACGCAGTTCGTCTGGTTATGGCAAGGAAGTGGAATCAGTAAGAGACAGGAATCGCACAAGGAGTCGCAGCACACAGCCTGGAGTGGCAGGAAACGGGGCGAGCTGCTGCTCTGTGTAAGCACGGTGTGGGCCGAGGCTGGCCCAGGCTCGCTGCGGGCACCTCCCGCGGGCCGGGGGTCGAGAGAGGCCACAGAGATCCCCCTGCCAGCCGTGTGCGGGACTCGCTGCCTGCCACTGCTGTCACCAGGCCCCGGTAAGAGCCCACCGAGCCCCGCTCGGCAGCACGGCCGCGGGCCGGGCCCGCCCGCCGCCTCCCGGCCGCACACGCGGAGCACGAGCTCCCTCTGCCGCCGCCGCCCGGCTGCGCTCCCGCCGCACATCTGGGCCACATCTGGGCCACATCTGCACGGCCACGGGAGCGGTGACGCCACGCAGAGACTGCCCCCGCCCGGACAGCCCTGCCCTGCTCTGCCGGGAGGGTCCAGCGCCTAAGCTGTTCCCACACACCCACTGCCTGCAGCCCACAGCCCCTCTGCTCTCTCTCTGCACACTGACCCCGGGCTCCTGCCGGCTGCTTCCATCTCCAGGAGACTTTGAAAGTGCTGAATCTGCCTAGGGAGAGAGATTGAGCCTCCCCCAAAGGTTACGATCCATGTCTGACTCTGGGATTCACGCTAACAGAGAAACCAACTGATCCCAGCTTTGCTAGGATGGGAGGGCAAGGACAGCTCCAAAAGCTGGGCCTGAATCACTTCCTCATGAAGAAAAGGTAAAGTTCAGGGTGTTTTATCAGTCTGGCCTTAGTGGCTCCGGCTGCCCCCTGAGCACTTTATCAAGCCTTATATTTGGGCCTGTGCTAGGAAAGGAGCATAAGAACCAAGAGAGTGTTCTGCATACACCAGGAGGAACAGGAAACAAGAGGTCCAAGGACAGAGATGGGTTCCTGCTGGAGCCAGCTGAGCATCAGGATCAATCATCTTCAACATTTTAGCAGGAGCACCAGAAGTCCAAGATAGGCATGTTTCCAACTGGTAAAGAAGAGGAATGGGATAGGCTACAACAAGAATAAAGAGGTGCTGTCACCTGCTGGCGTTCTAGAAACTGGCACAGGATTAGGACAAGGCTGCATGCTTGTGAAGCAGAACAGCCTCTACTCTGTACCTAAAAGCAGAGAAATGGACTGGTCCAAAACACACTGGCAACCATAGGCTAGCCAGTGAAACCAGGGTACATCAGGCTCTGCCAGGAAAGAGAGAAGCAGCTGTGCCACTGAGATCTCAGTGAGACCTCACCTGAGGCCTCCAGATCATGCTGCCTGCCTACAGCCAGGAGAGCAGTTCTGGTGACAGACATACCAAGCCATGATCCAGGTTTCACTGTCACTCCACAGGCACCTACAGACAGGGGCCAATCCACAACAGACAAATCACTTCACACCTCCAACTCTAACTCCAGTTGCTCTGGAGAAATGAGGCTGGCAAGAGTGCCTGCTGAGAAGTTTGTTTCCCAGAGGGGCAGATGGCAGTAAGGCAGCCACCCACACAAAGGGGTGACTGCAAGGGATGTGCACACCAGAGTGGCCCGGGGGGTCCTTTCACTCCAGGAGACATAATACCACAAATGTGGGTTGGGCACCACATCAGCACTGCACCATCATGGGGCAGTCAGTCCATCCTGCTGTGGAGTGCAAGAATCCTCCTGAGGGAGCTGCGCATGCCTTCCAGACAGCTGCATAGTGTGGGTCTCCTATCATGGGTACATGACCTGACTGAGGGCCAGCACTAGGACAGGACTTGTTTAAAGAGAACAAGTGGTAGAATTATTGACCAGGAAAGTGTCTGTATGAAAAATGTTAAGGTTGCACTTCTAGTTTCATCTTGGCAGAATCCAGCTAATAAGAAATACAGGACTTATGAGCAATAAAAGTTACAGCAGGACTAGAGGACACTTCCAAGCAATGCTCTGCAGCAGCACCTCAGGACAGGAGAGTCAGGTTACCTGGAATCTCTGAACTTAACACCCCTCCAGTTTTCAGACACCCATTTAATGCAAAGGAAAGCCTGACCTTGCATAAACTACACTGGCTGTGGATTCGGGAGGCAGAACCATTTCCCCGGAAGAAGGAACATTGCACGTGGATGCACTCCAGCCCCTGCAGGCTCTCCATTCCTGCTCTCAAGAGCCACTAGGAGCAGGCCAACCTTCTCTCCTGATCGGGAACCCATCGAGATGCAAGCACACGTGGTCCTTGTGCCGAGATGCTGAAAAGCAGGACCAACAGGGCCTGCAGGAGAGCAGCACTGCTTAGAGCAACTGCTCCTCTCCAGCACAGGTGGCGTGCCGGAGGTGCTCCCAGGCCACGAGCTGAGAATCACCGGGCTGTAGCGGGACACCTCCCCGCAGGCAGCAGCGGTGGGGACTCAGAACAAGCCCCTCACGACTTCCGAGACCGGGGAGCAGTGGGAGCTCCTCCAGCAGAGTGGGAGCGAACCGCTCTGCTGGGAGCCGCACATGGGCCGCTGGCTGAGGGAGCTCCTTCCCGCTGTTCCCAGAGCGCCGCGGGAAGGCCCCGCAGGACCCCCGGCAGCCCCCGCTCGCTCCCCGGGCCCGGCCCGCCCCTCGGCCCCCGCGCACCTGGTGGCGGAAGGCGGCGCCGCGCAGCAGGTCCCGCAGCAGCCCGAGGCCGATGTCGCGGCTGGCGCCCTCGGTGACGAGGTGGAGGTGCAGCACCTCGGCGGCGCCCAGGCGGCCGTGCCTCAGCAGCGAGCGCAGCGCCGCCTGCGCCTTGTCGCGGAGCGCGGGGTTGCGCTCCGCCTTGGTGAACATGAACAGGAGGTGCAGCCCGCGGGGCCCCGGGCCGGCCGGGGCGGGCGGCGTGGCGCGCAGGCGGCGGGTGGCGCTGGAGAAGGTCTCGCCGCCGCCGCCCAGGTAGTAGAAGGCGCAGACGGCCACGGCCGCGGCCGCCGCCAGGGCCGCGGGCTGCGGGCAGCGCAGGCAGCCCCGGCGCGCCGAGCCCCGCAGCGCCGCCATGGCGGGGCGGCACCGCCCCCGGCCCGCCCCGGCAGCAGGGCGGGGACAGCGCGCCGGGCGCGGACAATGACACAACACACACGCTACAGTCAAGTTTTAGATACAAACTCTACGGCCGTACATAACGCGGAAGAAGGGCGGAGTATACAGTCTGTACAATTACAGCTTAAGGGGGAAAAGGGGTTTTTTACATTTTACTGCTGGAATGCTTAAAAAACACCGAGTACAGAGGAACGCGCAGAGGGGAAAAAAAAAGTTCATTACTTCGGAGAAAGTAACGTCTCTGCTTGAGGAAACGAGGATTTCATGGCGATTTCTGTCAAAACATGGAAAACTTAGGCTCCTAACAGAAAAGCGAGTGGAATTTTTCCTCCTCTGTCATCTCCTTCCATGGGAAGAGAAACAAGAAAATACCGTATGCAGAAAGATAAAGCAAGCATATGAAAGGGTATATACCAAAGTGGTACACTCATCCTTTTCCCCAGTGGTGCCTCTCCAGAGTTGTCCCTGTTTTAAAACTGTGCCTTTGTGTAAGCACAGGAGCAAGGCGTGTTGGCTGTCAGAATGCAAAAGCCATAAACTCCAACTTGGGAAAAAGTGTCCATAATGAATGGGGCAGAGATTGTAGCCTGAAAAATTGATTCTCAAAATACTTTATGTATTGAAGAATCAGAATGATCAGCTAAGTCCTTTTGACACTGTAAAAATATCACGTCCTTTGTACTTACATATTATTATTTGCAGTTTCATCAAAGGGTTGTTTCAAGTCACTGTGTTATTTGAGATTCTCAAGATGAAGCAGCAGAGGTAACATCCACAATTTAAAACAGATGGCTGCAGAGAAGCACCAAAGTCCTGGAAACATGACATCAACCCTCTGCTTGTTCTAGTTCTCACCTTTTTAGTTTAGTGCTACAAAGTTTATGCTCTATCCAGGAGACCTAGTAATTTGGACAACATATGTGTACTAATGTCATAATGCAAAACAGGAGAAACTTCCTCTTGTACAGGGATTTGCTGACAACAGTTGGAAGGTCTGGTTGCATTTTCTAAAACTATTTTAGCTCAGTATACAAATAGGTAAAATATAAAACCCCACAGAGTGAAAAATGCAGTATTAATACAGGATCCTTTAGCACTGTAACATTGGAAGCCACAAATGGTACAATCCAAAATCTCCAAAATCAGTGGAAAGACTGCCACTGATATCAGTGATTTCCTGGATCAGGTCCTAATGGGCAGAGAGGCTGAAGTCCACAATGTACTAATGAGCACCTGGAACACGCATCCATCCGATTGCAATGTGGGCTGTTTGTGAAAGCAAAGAAATACCTCTGCAATCCAAATTCACCTTCACCCAAAGCCTGTGAACAAATTCCAACTGTCTAACACAGGTAGTGGCATAATTCAATATGATCATTCAGAAATTTAAGTTTATATGCACCTGAAAAAGGCTTTAACTGAGTGCAGTTTATAATGGACATCCTATCATACCCAAAAGGACAGGGGAACAAGGCTGGGGATCACAGGTGACACACCTACTTCCTAATCCATTGAAACTCCAGAGCTCCTGACGAGTCACACCACCTGTCAGTCAGGTGGGGTTCATTCCTTTAGCACAGACAGACTGACACTGCTTCCCAGACAGATGAGAGTCAGAACACAACACATGGATGTGTAGAGCTACAGGAAACAACTTCTAAGTCAAGAGAAATCATCCTGCAGAATTTGTCACAGAGATCTTGTGGCCAGGGAGGAAATCACCAGTGTAGATTTGAAATAAATCTCTCAGACCTGTTCTCCAGCAGCCTGGACTGAGACAGCAATTATGCTGTCAATTATGCCACTAAGCTTTAGGCAGCTTTACATTCCAGCCAATCCCACTACACACTGCCTGCCAGCCAGGCTGGGAAAGACAAACATCTAGAAAAACCTATGTCTAAGGTGTATATTATGCAGTCATATCTTACATTGTCCCATCTGTACACCAGGAATCTTACTTTCTCTAAGATCTACTAAAAAACCCATTTTCTGGTAAATACTGCTGATTAGGAAGTATATTATCATTTCATAGTCAGCTATTTAAAAACCAACTTACTAAAAATTACTGCTTACAGGTGATATCCTTAAGTTTCTTATTATTCAGACTAAATGTGCACTTTAAATGGGCAGAATCTGCTTTTCCTACCATAACTGGACCACATACAAAGCAAGAACTGTCTTGTAAGATTATTCTGCCTAGAAATAAATTCCACTGGACAATTCTACAACACTACTAATTTTGTAGCAATAATATTATGCAGATTATTACACATTGGATGCAGAATTATAAATGTTTGAAATACTTTCTTACATGCCAGAAAGTTTAACTTTACCATAGTTTACAGATTTCAATTTGTTTTATCCCAGTTTTGCTTATCTTTCCATGGAGAAAAGCCAATTCATTTCCTAAATACACTTAAACAGCAGGTTAACAATGCCACAGTTATTAGGATTACTGAAAACTCACATTGATACTATGTCACCTAAAAACTCTGTTTAAGCTCTCTCCATAGGGTAGACAAATAGAGGATAAAGAATTGCATCTGCTGGTTTGAGGTTTAGGAGGATTATTATCTAGGTATAAATATCCTGATATATAAGCTTATATCTTGAGACAGCATTTATACATGCACAAGGGCAGAGTGGGGCTCACTACTGCATTAAGCAAATGGTCTTGCTGCCCTCACAACCCAGTTGCAGACTGTGCTCATTCATTACTTGACAGAAATATCCACTGAAATTCTAGTTTTTCCTGTGCTCATCTTAGTTTAGACAACACATAAACATACACATCATTGCAAATCATACAAGGGCTACTGCTTCCTGATAGAAGGGATTGATTGTCCTAAACTTCGAGCGGCTGCAAGACATGAGACTTTTATACTGAGCTTAGGGCTTGTAGTGAGAACAGCAAAAAGGAGAAACAGCCTTTGTGCAACTATTCTACACAAACTTTGTTGGCTCAATATTGACGTTCATGTCTCAAATTTCAAGTTTTCATGTCAAAATACTACAAACAAACCCCACATCATGTCCAAAAGGATTAAGTTTATTTTTCATGAAAGGTTCCACATGCTCATTTAGAAGGATACTTGCTGCACTGAAAGTTTAATTTAAGAGGAAAAGAAAACAAAGGAAAATGGACTGCTCTTAGGAATTTGGTCCCCAGGATATATCCCTTTGTGACTGACCTGCAGTCACCAGCATAAAGGCCAGCCTGGTGCTAGAGCTTCCACTGGGAAAGAGCTTGCAGAAGAGCAGGAGCTGTCACATCTGTGAAGAACAGCCTACCTCTAACCAGAGTCACCACAGGAACAAGAGAATCTGTTGAGCTGCAGTCCCACAAATGGAAGGACAACTCAGTAAATCATTGCCCAAATTCCCTTCCAAACAGTCCCAGAAAATGCAACCCAGACCTTCTGCCAGAGGCACATTGTTTATGGCGACAGGGGGACAGGTGCCAGTGATGGCCCTGGGCAGCAGAGCTGCTGTGAGCACCCTGCAGCTCTGTCACCCCCGAGCTGCCAACGCTGGCCATGAACAGGGGCTGCTTTACACTCAGCCAGCAGGGACTCAGGGGCTTGAAACATCTTCAGCTGCTGAGGTATATGCACTGGAGAACATAAACCAACTCATACACTTCCCCAGCTACCACAATCTAAAGCTACATTGGAGTGGTCATTTTATCCAAACTATCTAACAAAATGCATACAATTCATTCTGTTAAAGTAAAAAAAGACTTGCACTATAAGCTTCAGGTTCTTTTCCTTCTTGACACTTAAGACTTCTGGGAATCTGACTGCTGGAAGCGGTTTAACTTCTCTGGATTATTTGATGCCATTTGAGAAAAGTCACGAAAAATGTCCTGATAAATTTCATCTCCTAGGTGGAAAAGAAAAGAGAAACAGTTTTAAACATTTGTAATAGTCAACATCACCACCATTGCACAAATGCCCTACTGTGCTATCAATTACTGTGTAACACTTAATTAATGTATGAATACTGCTTCTAGATGGAGTGATGCTGATGTGAACTCTGGGGGACTGAAAACTTGCATGCATGTTCTGTAGAAGCAAATTAAACAAAGCCAAACTATACCTGAAATAGTACCTCATAGGCAGCCACACAGAGGAAAGTTCAGAGTTAGAAAGGAAAAGTTAAAGCACTTTAAAGCAACTTAAAAAGAAAAAATATTTATTAGCTGTTAAAGAATAAAATCCTTGTTTTTGCAAGGAACTGCTAACCAAGATTCTTTACAGAAAAAAAGAATTATGGCATAAATAAAGATTTACTTGGAACAGAGATCAGAATTCTTACAGCCAAACAGAATTCTCCATGAAAGAAACAATCAGCAAACAATAATATATATATTAAAAAAAGCAATCTTAAGTAGATAAATTATTGTTCATAAATTACTTTTGTCTATTACTTCAGCAAAAATAAAATTTCTACATTCAGTTAATCTACATCTTTCATTATATTTTTCAGTTTGATCTATAAGAACAATTGACACTTCCCCTAAAATTCTTTTTTTTTTTTTAAATCTTCACCCTTTGTGCTTAAACGCCAGCCTCCTACTACAATATATTCCAAAATGTGTTCCTCCCCCTCCCTGTCTACACAGGAAAACACATTCAGGAGTGATTACTTCTTGAGTCATTGCCAAGTCATTCTTTGGCCTTTTTAAAATGGACAATTTTCATTCATTTTCACATTCTTTCATCTATTGGAGCATTTTGGGCCTTGAGCTCAAGTTCTGGTTTAAAACACTAACCATACCCCTTCATCTTCAAAAGGAATTTAATGCATCAAACATTGGGTTGGGTCTGGAGCTATGTAGCCATCCAAATTTTAGAGTCTTCCCAACACAGGACACAAGATCCCAGCACTACTGTTTCTTGCTGACAGCTTGATTAATAGCATGACAAAGAAATCAACCCAAAATCTCTCTCATCGTGTACGTCAAATATGAACATTTTTTTTTCCTAACATGATTGTGGAAGAAAAGAATGTTTTTGTGCTTAAAAGTTTGCACTACTGGGAAAAGTGACATTGTTTTTTTTTTTCCAATTTTTTAATGCACATTTGCAATGTTAAAGCTATCATTCTTTTGGAGATGAGACTCCATTCTTTTAAAAACACTTTCACAAATAATAACTGACCTTCCAGAAATATTTAACAGGCCAGTAACACAATTCTTCCCAGACTTTAAAAGATGAATACATTCAATACTGCTCTACTAGGAAAAGTCAGTTCTAGAGAAATTCCCTTTTGGTTTTCAGATTTAATTCAAGTATGGTGTCCCTGCCCATGGCAGGGGGGCTGGAACTAGATGATCTTTAAGGTCCCTTCCAACCCAAACCATTCAGTGATTCTGTGTTCTAGAGATGAAGCAGGCACAGGACAAGTTTTATTGTAACAGCTTGTGAGAACTTCTTGCTCTGGGAGACCAGCACAGAATGGAGTTGTAACATTCACCAAAAGAATAGCTATGAAGGGCAAAAGCAGAATTAGGCTTCTGTGATAAAAGCAATTATGCTTTTAATACAGAAGTGGGTTCCACTGGTGAATGAGAACTGCAGTTCAAGTTGCCACACTTGGTTCTTTCAGATTAACTTGAAAGAAGAAAAAGCTGTTTTTGAAAGATACATTGTGGCTCTGGCTTTGTCTCTATTACATAACAAAAATATTAGATACAAAAATAGACTAAAATAAAGTGCCCCTTTAGTTTGTATGTTGCATTAATATGCTTAATACTGTAAACTTTATCATTATTTTAAAATTCTACTTTAAAATTGAATTCTGGAAGTTCCCTTTCCAAGCAATGTTTTCCCTAAAGTGCAGATTATATGTACAAAAATACTGTAACACTGCTTTACCTTTTCACACCAGAGTAACTCAAAAGGCACACATCATACATTCAAGAAAAGGTAGGAAGAAAGAGTAGCAATGCTAATATCAAAGAGTTAGCAAGACATACTGTAGCACCAGGAGATGAGCACTCAAGTATTATACAGAAACAGCACTACTGTGCATATGGCTTCTACCACCAGAAATAACTTCTTAAAGCTGGTTGCAGCTAGTTCCCATTCCAGGAATGCTTTGGAAGACCAACTGTACCTTGCAAAGCAATATATTCATTCTCTCATTAGCTCAAACCAGCCATATACATTTAAATTATAAATTTTGATGCCATTAGCTACATGAGCAATTGTTTATCAGCTGCATTGCTAGAGCTGAGAAGTAGGCAGTTGGCTTCACTCTGGTAACAGCAAACTCATACAATGATATTTACCCTCACATAGCTACCAGCAAATATACAATTGTCTTGAAAATCCCTATTTTCTTCTAGAATCATAATTTTGGAACACTGTAGTCCTAAAGTAAGGGCAGTGCAGATAATTGAACATGTATAAGGAGTGAGAAAGACCTGCATCCCTTAAAACTACAGAAAGCTGTGACACCTTATGACAGCAGACAGGTTCTGTGCTTACACTGACACAACCCTTCTGTAGCAGATAAAAACATTCAAAACACTCAAATATTGAATCCAACTTTTAAAAGAAACTGCACCAAGTACCAGAGTGAAGGGGGCAGAGCTGTGCTATCCAAAGACACAGTAAGTTCTCTGGCTGGGACTCTGCTCCAGCTTGTGGCATTAATTTCAGAAGTTATTCTAATGAAAGCCTCCCCTTGATTTTGGGCAAGCTCTGCCTGTTGTGGCCAATCTACTCTTCACTGTCAATCTCACCTTAGCAGCTGTGAAGTGTCTGGATCAGATTGCATCAGCTGCAGTCTCTAGATTCTACTGCTCCAATTTGGGAACACCCCCCCCTGCCCAATTCCTCAGTGGAAAACACATAAGGGCTTTATAGGAGTCAACTGAGAGTACTCAGCACTCAACCTGGAAAATAAGGTTCACCTTTCACTTCTGCCAGGAACAGCAGGGTGTTTTTAGCTGTCTAACTTCATAATCAAGTGTGCCTTCATTATTGGTACTTGCATGATATTAAATTACCTTCCTATGGAAGCAAATATCACATCAGAACACGCTGTAAATTAGGTCTGAGTGCCTGAGAATAAAGTTGTACATATGCATTAAATATAATTTGTTACTTTCCTGCTGGAGTTGGCTCAAGTATCTGCCAGCTTCTATTTGTTTTTTAACCAAACAGAAAGAAACTCTGCATACAAAAATACATACTTAAGAATGACTGCTTTGTTTCTTTTTAGTATCTTAACAAATAAAAATATTTAAAAATAAAACCTAAGGAAATAATATTTTCCTATTTTTGTCTGGAGGCAGTTTGAAATATTTGATGTACATTTTTTACATTGGTGTGCAAGGGTTTTCGTTTTTTTCTTAAAAAAAGAAAAAGTGGACCATTCCACAGGAAGGAGAATGGTGTCCTGGAATAAGATGAACTCTTCAACAGTCTCTAAGCAAGCTGAGTCAGAAAGCTGCTACTAAATAATGTCAGGTAAATCCTAACATGACACAAATGTCAATGGAACAGCAATAGGAGAAAACTGTGGACAACTACCAGCAAAATAGGGTGGTCATGGCTGTAGTATATACACTGCTATAATGATGCTCTTTAAACAGTCTCCTTTTAGGTTCCCTAAGCACTCTGACAAAGTCACACCACTGAATTTCAATGAAGCTTTAGAATGTGTTCGTTTATAAAAAACACTATTGTATGAAGCAATCTTAAATTTCCCTCAGACACTAAGAATCTAATTGTAAACTGATAAATTCCTGTATACACTTCTTATACTGCATTTCAGTGTGGTTATTAGAGGAGTATTGACCTGGCTGCCCATAGAGTCCTTCTGATTCACGCATTTCTTCATTCATCCTTGCTAAACGCAACCTGCCATGCAGAAAACAAAAGGAAAAATGTCATCTTTAAAGCACAAAAAACTATAATGCAAGACCTCTCCTGAATCTCACATCAAAGAGGTCATCTATAGATAGAGTATTTTGATTTTTCTTTTGTTCCCCCCTGTTTTTATGTACAGGAATTTTGACATTTATTTTGTTTTTAACTTGAAACAGAATAGCAAAATTTAAGTTATCTAGTCAGAAAACAGAATGTACAACTTACAGCGTTACAATATCTGCATTTGCAGCTTCCACTGCTATACTCAATGGATCTTTCCCATCTTCATCAGTCGCATGCTGGTTTGCTCCTCGTTTTAGGAATAAACACACTTGTCTGGTTAGAAAAAAAAAACATTTAAGAATACTTTTGACAATATTGGAAAAAAGCTAATAAGGTGAGGCTAGATACAATGTATTTAGCTAAAATCATCAAAAGTCTCATATATATCAAAATAGTGCAGTTCATCTAGAACATGTTAACAGACTAGTAAGCAAACCATTTATTTAATCCACATTAGAAAACACGTTTGTTTTGCTAGTGGATGAGACTGCTAAATCAAAATACTATTTCCTCTCTCACAACCAGAGCTTAAGAAAAACTCTTATCATCTGAAACAGTATTAAAATATCAGAATATCTGGGGCAATGAAGAAGCTTCCCATGAACAACTAGAATAAAGGATGGCCATGTACAAATTGTGGGGCGGTGAGTTACCCAGTGTGTCCTAGAACTGTGGCATGGTGCAGGGGCCCCCTTCCCTTCATGTCTCGGATGTTCACGTTGGCCCCATTCTGCAGCAAAAATTCACAAGTAACCAATGAACCCTACAGAATGAAAACAAAGAAACAACTCAGCACCAGATCTCTACAATCAAACCAAACCTCTCCTGCCTTCCCACCACTGAGCCACCCAGCAAAGGAAACTAAAGGGAGTTGCTTCCAACTTTAAACGCTACTAGACACAGAATTCCAAACAAAGCATTAACAGGAAAAAATATTTCAGAAACAACTCTGAAAGAACACTGTAAGCATAACTTCAACATCATATTATCATTCCTTAGGGAAGCAAGCAGCTCAAAAGGAACAGTGACACAGAAATACCATTATTTCCCTTGCTCTCCTCCCCCATCAGCAGTGCTGTATATCACATACCCCTCGCACTGCCTGAATGAGTGGTGTTGCTTTGTTTTCTTCCATGTTGACCCAGTTTACTTCAGCTCCATGAGCCAATGCTTCTGCCATGTGAGGAAGATTTTTCTCAAAGGCAGCTTGATACAATTGCAATCCTGGACTAGGCTGCTTGGAGTCACAAAACACTGGAGACTCTTGCTTGTCTCCTTCTGAAAAGAAAAAGAATTGCTTACCTAATTCCTGTTTTAACAAGGTACCTCTTGGAATTCTGATCAAAACATCATTTCTCTGGCAATAGGTAGCTCAGCTTTTGCAGAATGCTATGTATTGTTGCCCCATTCTGCCAGGAGAATTCACAGATGCCTTTAGCTCCAGTATTCAGGCACAGTCTCTTCACAGAACTATTACTGCACAGAAAACATTCTCTCCACATTACTGGCACATGTGTATATACTTCAATCTACATATTCCATGTAATTTCTAAGAAATTGTTTAAGGTCTGGAGTGTGTTTCACTGTAAACTGCAAGATATGAATAAAACTCATTTTCTGCAAAGATGTAGTCATACAAATATATCTGAAACACCTGAGTATGAGGCTGATACTGTTCTGACCTAATTTTTGTTAACAAATACCATTGTCATTTACCAACTACTTGCTGTGGCTATAATCTTTTGGACTAAAGCACAGTCTTTCTCTTCATCTCAGTAATGGTTATATGGAGTAAAATCTGGGAGATAAAGATGTTGCTACATAGAAACTTTTGTGAGTTACAGCATCATAAATATTTCTACAATATAATCAAAAAGGATCCAAGCCACATGCTGCCTGCAATAACCTCTGTGAACTACTGGATTTAAAACATACCTTAAAAGAGTGCTTTCATGTAGAAGAATAGGTCTGCTTTATAAAGAAATGTTTTGGAAATTTTGAGAAGCCATACTCAATATATCTGTCAGAACAGCATGCTAAAATTAGCAAATAATTTCATTCACCAACTTACAGAACTTCTGAGTTGAAGGAATGATGTTTAAAGACTTGGTCAATTCCACAAAAATAAGAAACAGAAAAATTAAGCAAGAGTGCACAAATAACACATAAAACCCTACTATCTGTGACTCAAGAGGAATTCTATCTCTGGATTTATTTATTTATAAAAGAATCATGCATTTGGGATCAGCCTCATCTGAATGGAAATAAACATAGTTCTTTGAACTCAAGGAGGATTAAATGTCATTTTTGGTAGCAGGACCAAAAGAAAGATCGCTCAGGCAAATTTTACCCTTACCAAAAGCATTTCAATCAGGATAGCAGACATGAATTGTCTCACCAACACTGATCATTTTTAGAAAAAGAAACTGCTGCCAAGTGATTAAATTTTCATCTTACAGTGCAAAACCTAACACACCTGGTTCATACAAACTGTTGGCTGATATAGTAGAGGCAAGGTGTTCTCTGCTGTCATCAGTGCTTGGCTGGATCCCACTGTCACTGCTTCGGACTGTTTTGGGGAGAAACTGCAATTACTACGCAGAGCTGAAGCTACCTGCTCCTCACAGATACCATGATAATAAAGCAAGCTCTTATACTTGGTCCTGAACATAATTTAAAAAAAATGGCTTGTTCTTGTTCAATATTCTTAATGCATCCACAGAAAAATATGAAGTCACATTTTGTAACCATAATATTTACAATAATAATAAAAAATGTCAAAGATAACTAGAAATGAAAAAAAAAATCAGGATAAGTAAAAAAGCTTAAATTATTTCATGAAAATACTAAGCAATGCAGCAGCCTGGAGACAACAGATTGAAGCAGGGAGATGGCCACAACACACAATGGATCACTAGTGCAAACAGTGAACACGCCACAGCTGTAGTACTTACTACTACGGAGTTTTGAAGAGGTATCAAAGTAGGAGAAGAGTGAATCAAGCTCATCAGGACAGAACAGAGACTCCCGCCTCGCCTCGTCGCTACTTACAGCAACCGCTGGGACATGCAGGTTAGCAAAGCACAAAGCAGGCAGTAAGGAAGGGACAGGGCAGGAGAGAACGTTATTGGAAAAACCAAGAGGATGAAAACACCGAGGAGAGAAGGTGGTTAATAGGACTCTGAGTTATAAGCATCCCCATTCCAAATCTTTCCCCGTGTAAAAGAGCACATGTCTGAAGAAGTCTTTTCTTCCCTACACCCTACACTAGGCTACAACCATTTAAAAAACAGATTCCATAGTCTCTGCATGAGGCAGAAGTCAATTAATATAAAAATATGTCACCTTAAAAAGAATATGGGTAATACAGCTAAGGAGAGAAGTGTGTAAATACCTTTGTGGGGTGCTGCACCTTGTTCCCCTGCCAAAAGGGATTTTTCAGGGCCACTGTGCCTTTTCTCTTCCTGACTTGGAGGCAGAACTTTTGTTCCAGGCTCTGGCAGAGGTACTGATGTAGCTTGCTTCTCTACAAACTTTCTTTCCACATATTTTGCTCTGATGTATGCCTCCTTCTCCTGCCTGTCATATACAAAAGTCCTGGAGTTAGTAAGCTAATATTTTAGTATTTTCATGTATTAAAAGAATATCTACTTTGTACTAAAGTCAGTAACCAAAACTGTAGCTTGGCATTGCACATAAGACACACGTATAGCACATTGTCAGAAAGATGCAAAGCACACTGTCACTTTCTGGATTCATGATTAAATTTTGCATAAGGCTCAAAAGAAAGTAATTTTGTTAAGTTCACAAACATGTATTTACTTTCAGACAGAGACTTTGGAAAGTGGTATGTGGACGAAATAAGCATTAGTTACTCTATGTTACCTCTATTAAAGCTTTATACAACTTTTCATTGTTAATAACCTACTAATAAACATTTATTTAGTTTCTTACATAAATATAAATTGCAGCATCTGTTACAGGAACATTAAGATTACACAAGAAAACAATAACAAACCCTAGGTAGGCACAGCTATCAGTTCCATATCATATACTGAAGTAACCTGAGGTTATCAGCTTAAAACATAACAGCAGTTGTGTCAAACTGATAAAAGGGGCTGTATTTATTGCTTTAGAACTGCTGAAAAGCAGTTACTCCTAGAAGGAATATCTAGCAAATCTCCTACTTTGTTTATATTATCATCACTGTCTCCAAGTGGCCAACACTTCACAAAATGCAGTTTTCTATACTATAAAACTACTGGGCAGCAAGCAGCACAGAACTGGAAAGGTAGTAAAAAAGCAAGTTTTAAGAGCCTATACAGCAGCACAAAGCATTGGGAATCTACCTTCAAACACAGATTAGCACCAGAGAAATAGAAGATAGCAGTACAATGATTTGAAGGCTGCTGTAAAGCAGCAGAGCTCATGTACAATGTAGGTAGGAAGATGAGAACATTCTGAGGAATAGGGAACAAAAGTCAAATGGAAGAACAAAGTCACTGTAAACAAAAGGAAGAGCCACAGGCTCCTTCCAGGAGCACTCACACACCAAGTACAGCTGGCTGAGCTGGTACCCAGCAGAGAGGAAACAAAATCCACATGTCCACAGTGATGCTCTAGAGCTGTCATCAAAAGGAGGGAGTGAGATCACAAAAAGAACAAATGAACAGCAGAAGCACAAGGGACCAACAGAAGGAATGCCCAATAAACAGAGAGAGTGAGAAAAGGGACAGATACAGGGAAATGAGTACACTAAAGGAGTATAACACAGTTAAGTGGCAGCAGCTTTTACAGGGGGAGGCTAAGGGAAGCAACAATAAAAGAAAGCAACAGGCACTGCTTGTAAAATACTACCTTTGACTTCCAGATTGTGGCTTCTTTACTCCCACTTTTTCCAACTTCGCTTCATATATTCTATTTATAACATCATTTCCCAATTCACACATAAGCTATAAAGCAAAATGAAAAAAACTCAAATATAGTTGCAAAAAGCTTTATCTACCTATTCAGTTGTTTTTAACCTCACTCAGCCTATATTTACAACTTAGTAAATATAAAGTACACTACCAGAAATAAGCATGGGTTTATATGATAATAAAGAAACAATCAGTGAATAGAGAGACCAAATTCTGAGTAAGGTAAGAAAAAAATCTAGTCACTCTTTAAGTGCCTGAAAAAACAACCACCAGAATGACACCTGCAGGCCTCATTACCAAAGGTGTTTTTCCACCAGCTTTGACAGAAGCTGTTCTTAGCCCATCAGCAAGAGACAATTCAATCAACTGTATTCCACCTTACCCAACAGGCATAATCTGATATAATACTATAGAAAAGGAACAAACACAAAAGCCTACTTACAGGAGAATTTAACCCTATTGATTGCAATGAACAGATTTCTTGTTTCTAATACCAGGTAGAATATTTAGTTCTGATATTTACATGAATAATACAAGAGGTACAGCTTTTTTTTTTTTTTTGAGTGGGCATGGGGCTTGGTTGGTTGTTTTATCAGCATGAACACATTGATAAAAAATTATTTAACCACAAAGCACATTGTCTTTTGTTTGTTCAGAATAGAGAAGCAATTCCTAAGTGCCAGAACATCACAGCTAGAAACAAATGTTTGCATGAGTTATCCAGTTGCACACATGCATCCATGCATGAATTCCGATTTCAGGATTTCAGTGTCACATGACTTTTATAACCATGGCTCCAGCTAGAAATTTGGCACACAAGAGCAGTTGCATGAGTACTCTCCTATAGGCCAGAAGCATCTCACTGTTAATAGCTGACATTCAAATTTTTGAGTATGATCATTCTTTAGGCTGATGTATCACTTCCAAAAGACATTATTGGTTTGTAAACAGATTTGCCTTTCTATATGTTGAAAGTATCAGATGAAACTTGCTACTCAAAGTGCACTTGGGAACCTGAAGGTGTTGTAAGCTGTTTTGAATTGCAAGTTTGTAAAACAAATTACTATGGAGTATAAGAAAGTATGAATTAAAATAAACCAACACACAAGTATAAACATTTTCTGCTCAAAACTGCAAGACACACTGGGTACAAATGTGTTTCCTGCATTGAACTTTCTAATGCAGAGGCTTTAGAACAACAATCTAAGTACCAAATAGAAACCTGTTTCAAAAATACTGTACCTTTAGGAGTTCAGGTTCCCATGAATCCAACGTTAAAGATCTTACTTTTGAAAAGTGGACTCCCAAGCTCCTAAACAACATGGGAAAAAACATTAACCTGTAACTACATGTTATATCTTACCTCAGACAGATTTACCATTAATTTATGCAAATAAAGCAGTTACCTTAATTCTATTTACAAACAAGGGTCTCTAATTTTCTTTCAATATACCTTTGAAGAGGCAAACACCACCCTTGCTAATTAAGCCAATGCACAAATGAAATGCAGCTGAGGAGCTCCCCAACCTGTGTATCCCAGAGCACTCGATGCACAGTGTGATTCCCAGGTTGATACTGGCCCAGCGAGGATCTGCCAAACCACAGTCACAGCAGGCAGCATTGCCAGCAATGCACTGCACTCTCTGCAGAGCACTCTCTCCTTTCAACAGCTTCTCTTTGGTCTCACTCCCAGATTCTAGGCTCCCAGTAGAAGGGGATGATTTCTTTTCCTGTTTCTAAAAGAGAAAAGACACAAACAAACCAATTAAGAGACATGCTAAACTAAAGAAATTAAAGTCCCACAGATATTGACTGTACACTAAAATCCAAGAAAAGTCTCTGCTATCAAGGCCAAGGAAAGCCACAGAATAAAAAAAAGTTTAGCTTTTTAGAAGATATATAAAACTGAATATAAGAATATCCTATGATTTTTAATCACATTACAGAGAAATCTCAAAAAAACATACAGACCACAGTAACATTAACATGGTGAGTGAAAGACAGATCAGATATAATTCACAGCCTTCAAAATTTCATTGCATTTCCACTGGAAGACAAACCAGATTGTTTCTTTCCTTCTCTCTCATTAAAAGAGGCTTTATGAATTTAAAATTTTCAGGATCTAAAGGGAGGTAGTTGTTTGGTGGATTGTTAAACTCACCTCAGATTCATCTCCCTTTTCTCTGTATGCTGTGGCAATACTGGTCTGAACAGCCTTAATCCACGCCTGCCGCAGCTTTTCCGAGTCAGCCTGAAGCATGCAGCTCCTGTGGCAAATGACAAAGTGCTCAGAGACGGTGGCCAAGCAGCTGACATCCAACAGCACATTGCTCAGGGCTCTGTTTTGATGGAGCAAGTTTCTTGCTATCACAAGTTTAGTAGGCATCATCTAATAAACACATTTATTTTAAGGTAACAAAGCAGCTGAGCCTTTGTGAGCTGCAAACTCCTTATTTCAAAATTATTTGCAGGTAATGCTAATATAGACACAGAAATGACTCTTCCAAAACAACTGACAATGGCTTAGTTTCCTATTCCTTTTCTTATTCAAAATTTTTCTTTTTTATATCCTCAGATGCATTTTACACCTGTGACACAAGTCACAGGTATCAGTCCTTTAAAACACACTTTCATTCGCTGACATCAAAAGAGTAACTTTAAAGCTCTATGACAAAGAATGAACTACTTTGCTTATCAGCAGTAAAAGAAACAGGTCATGAAGTATAAAACTTACAAGTTTTATACAAGTATAACACTTGTGGGTTGAAAAAGCACTGGCAAGCAAGAGCAAAATGCATGTTATAGTAAACCACAACTGGGGATGCAAAGATCAGGATAGACAGCAATCTCCTCAAAAGAGAAATCTAAGAAGGAGTGGAAAGTGTAGATAACCTCCAAACCTAAAAGCATGTTGACCTTGTATCAAAAACTTAAATATGGTCACATCTCACAATCACTAATGAGTAATCCATGTCCTGCTCTTGCTGTGGCAGGATGCCAAAATTCCCTAAGTACAACCAATGCACTGCTAAAGCTGAAAAATAATTTTATTTTTCGTTTAGTAGTTTCATTTTTAGTAGTTTCATTTAGTGCATTCTGAAGTATAATTTAACATGACTGAGACAACAGCTTATTTAAGTGCTTCTCTCTAATTGCGCCAATCAGAAATGTGGAGAAACTGAGACCTATTTTCTACATTACTAAGCAGCTGATAGTATCAGCTATTACTAAGCTCCAGCAGAGCGCTGCACCACAAGCCATTTATGCAAAAAGTACAAGAATGCATGTTTATTTTAATGCCAAAAGTAAACTAAATACCAGGGACACTTCTCACAGCATCACTTACTCTCAGCCAAAATTTCAGAGAGCAGAATTTTTCAGATACTTTTCCTGTTTTGATCTATCCCAAGAGAAACATTAATCTTACATTTTAAAACAACTACATGTAATTATTTTTATTTTTAAATAAACATATACTCCACTGCTTCTCCTTACTTTGTTGGAGAAACCACCTCAAAACAGAAACGTCTCTCTATGTCTTCACAGTGTTTAACTGTGCAGAGCCGCAAGTCCTCAACAACCACTGTGGGATTATCCTAAGAGACAAAAGTTAACAAGAGAGTCACAGAGAAAAAAATAATATAGTTGATAATAGGATAATAATTCAATCCTGAATTATTAATCATTGAATTCTATTTGCCTGGTTACACTAATTTTTTCCTTCAAAAATAAAATTTGAACTCAGTGGATTTGGAGATCTACAATCCAATCGACTGAATAATCAGCACCTTAAATTTAAACAACAGTATTCAAACTAGAAAGATACTCTAAGAAATGTCATTAACTCATTATTAAATCAGATAACTTATACTTAAATCAGCAGTACTTTAAGTGACACATAAAAAACCCCAGAAGCTAAATGCAGTAGTTTTGAAAATTTGATTTAATTCATAAGAATTCCATTATGAGCTATCAACATTTTAAAGGTGCAGTTAAAAAAAAAAGCAAGGAGAATTCACAAACACAGAATGCCCAACCAAACATGCTCAAACTCAACTGTGTGTTTTCTTTCCAACCACAGAAATGAAGCTGCTTGATTTGACAGCATCAGATAGCAAGGAACAGCCTCTGATCCCAGTCTGTTTGCAGTGAAGAGGAATTAATTGCCATAAGCTCTTTCCTCTTTTTTTCCCCCACTATTTCCATACAGGCTCTATTTTTTCCCAACCTGAAGAACAGCTACAGCTCCTTGGTGCAAAAGCAGATTCTAGAACAGCAAACAAAGGAGCAGGGGCCCAAAACCGGACTGAAAACGTTCTATGGCTTGGGGCAGAGCTGGACTTGCTGATTTAACCTAGAACAGCTGCACTTTCCACCAGCAACAAGGCAGATACTGACTGCTGAACCACTCAGTATTTTTGATACTAAATACATGCATTTAGCAGCCCTGACTACTTTGTAACAAGCTTTCATGCTTTTTTCCCCTATTGCTGAATTGGGTGTGTGAATCAGTAAGCAACTGGAGGAGCAAGTCCTGAAAGAGTTAAACACAACTGCTCAGAGAACAGCATGGAATATTTGACTGCCAGCAAGTGAGCACAAGCCTTTTGGGACCAACAACTTTTAAAGTTCTAACTAGGTTACAAAACCCACAGCAAATAAAGTATGAGTGCAATCAGTGCACAGGAATCTCAGAATCTGTCAGTGTAGCTATAAGTCTCATTTTACAAAGGGAGAAACTAATTTAGAAGAAAGCAGTAGGTTGTTGAAGATCACACAGGATCTTCACATCAGCAGTTTCCCCAATCAATCAGAAAAATCATCACCCAAACCCCAGACTATCCCAAGCCAGTTTTCAACTCCTACCTTAAATTTCTTCTGGTACACAAGTTGGTTATTTTGTATTGAGAACCAGCGCCTATTCAAATGAAGAGACATCCAGAGAATACATAACTGATTTTACAGTGCTTATGTGACTGAGATGTGCTAACATACAGTCTACAAAGAGACTGCATGAAAGAATTCAGGAAAGTAATACTGCAGTCAATTTTGGCAAATATTTCATGACATTAATGAAAAAAGGGAAAGCAGAGACAAAACAGAAAAGAAAGCAAGGTTCAAATAATTTGAGTCATAAACAAACACATTCATGTTATGACAACATTAGTTAAGCTATCACACAAAACACTTTCATTTTAAAGAACATTTCCTTCTGTATTTTAGCAGCAAGTTATGATTTTAAGTAGTTGTTTGATAACACAAATTCAGATAGCTTGAATAACAGAAATACTTAAACCCATGTAAACTAATCCTGAAATATTTCTGGGAGTAGAACTACTTACTAAAGCACAAAAAATGCTTTGGTGTTGCTATCCCATGGTGTTGCTATCTACATTGGGCATGTCTGAAATAAAAACACTACATATAAAAACTAAAAAAAAAACAAAAACAAAAAAACCAAAAAAAACCTAAAAAAAAAAAAATCCAATGAAAACCTTTTAAGTAGGATCCTAAATTAAGCCTCAGCTTTGAAGAAAAATCAAATAAATCAAATAAATGCTTTAACAAAGGCATCCTGTAAAATCCAAAAGATAATATAATGCTTAAAAACTCCTCTGAACCGTATCCTTCCTTGTCAAACTCACTGTTCACATAGGATACATCTCAGAGAATGGAAAAATCACTCACACTTTGGGGGAAAAACCCCTCAGATCTCGAAAAATGTTTTATCAGACCACTGAATGAAAAAAAACAAACCCAGTAGACATAACCATGCCTTTCTAGCTCTTCTGAGATGCACAAAATAAAAGCAAACCAATAATCACAGTTTCATTTTCACTGACAAAAATGAAAGGAATGTACAAGACAATTCAGTGAAATTTACACCTTGTTTTGTTCAGGCTTATAATGCAAACCTGTGTTTACCACAGCATCATTCCTCAATCATCTCCAACACCCCACCTTTACCACACAACACTTTTTCCTGAACTACCAGTTCGTTTGAGTGGTAACAGTACACAAAATATTGTGTTGAAACAGATCTTGTTATTCTCCACAGGCTGTTGAGCTTCAAGCTACAGCTTACTACAATTAGTAACAAGAGGGCCCCATGTATTTATTCAACCACCACAAGCCATTCCTGGAAAGAAGTGCACAAAGATGGTTAGGAAAAATTAATATATACAAAATATGTTAGATCCCAAACAGAAAAGCTAGTATTTGTTAGAAAGGTTAGTGTTTCATAGACAGATGAGATTCTACCTTTTAAGAATCTTTTCAAATGTTGTGCAGATATATTTAATTTAAAAAGCAACAACAGGATCTCTTGTCATTCTTGATTTTTTAAATTTATTAACAGCAGTAGTTTTAGTCACTGCAATTGAAAAGGGATCATCTTTACTAACTATTTACAGATGCAGTAAGTGTGCCCCAAATATAAGGCAGGTTATTGCTAATATTCATATAGGAAACTTAACAAAAAAGCAGACTTGAAAAGGAAATAAACTCATGTCATTTTTCATGTGCTTTTTGTGAACATAACACAAAAGAGAACAACATGAAAAGCAGTGCCTAAGTGATAAAGGGAGTGGTAAAGGGGAAAAAAAAGCAGCCTTGCCCCAAGACAACGAGCAATGGAGCAAATCCCTAGTAAGAGCCTTAGGAAGTGCAATTAACTTCATTAATGTGATGCTTCATTTGTTCTACAGCTAAATATTTCATGAGTTACTCTAGTAAACAAGCTCTCATCTCATCAGTTGGATATAAATGATCACACAAATTGTAACACAAATTTGTGCCATCTTTAAAACCTAGTCTAGAAGTTTTGAAAGTAATTCAGTTCCTTTTTTTTTTCCTAGTAGAGAAATTAAATCTGTTAAAAAAAATTTCACTGCAGCCACAAAGGGTGCAGGTTTTGGTGCTTTTCTAAAATAAACTTTTACTGAATGAGATCAACAATTTACAATTTTGGATAATTTGTAAGTAGATGTCAGAGTTAATACATTTTAATTTTTTCCTAACAAGATCAAAGTGTCAGACTGCCCTCCAAGGTGTCAGCACCACAGCAGTTTTATTCAGGCCAAGAACTTGGAGTTATTCCTCATTAACCAAATAGCATCAACAAACTCTTCACTTTACTGTAGCAAACTTCACTTTATTGTAGTCTGCTGGGGGTCTGCACCAGCATCAGCCAGGAACTTCTGAGGTACAATCTCTGTACTGAAGGTGCTGCTAAAGAGTAACCCACATCTATCAGGTTCTAAAAAAAAATTGAAAATCTTCAGGCATCATGTGTGCAGTAAGTATTATTACCAAAGTTTCCTTAAATGTGTCATTCTGTCAAAAGCAAGACAGAACCATGGTGAAGGAGAGAACATTCTTTGGAATATTAAAGTACTCACTTCATAGTGGTTAAATACAGTTGTTCCTGTTTAAAAACAGAATGTTTTCCATCATGTACACCTACACCATTCAAAACTGTATTTATTAAATAGGAAACAATGGAAAATCTATAGAAAAAAATTCTGATTTCTGAGAACTGAGACTAATACTGAAAAAAATACAAATTTTGAGTTTTACATAAAACAATGAATTGTGCTTTATGATTCTCAGAAACAGTTTTCTCCTCTAGTTGCTAGCAGCACACAATTAAAACAGAGTAATTAATAATGCACAACATTTAAAAGTACATGTCTATTCCCAATGCAGTTGATAAGAAAAAAAAAATCTCATCAACTTCAATTGGAAAAAGGCAAGACATTGATCTTGTATGCTCAGAAGTTTGAGTGCAGAAACTTGGCTTTAATTCCTTTTTTAGCTAAAAACCAGCTCAATATTTCTGAATCTTTTAAAGGAATTGAGCAGCAGGTATAGTGGCATCCCAGGCAGAATCCTTCTGTTATTTTCTTAGACTGAGTCACTTATACATCCATTGCAAGTAATCAAAATTAAATGCAGGGTTAATGAAGAGCTTTGTGCGTGCCAAGGAAACATTGGGAAGGTATAAAAGAAGCTGGTTGGTACCTGATGTGATCTGGTTTTTTCCTGTCATGTGAAAAAATGGGGTAGGATTAAAACATAACGGAAAGGAGGAAAAGGGATGAAAAATGCAAAATGAGCAAAATAAGAAAAGAATTAGCATGATCTGAAAATACAGCAGAATTAAAAAGGAAAATATCTATTGCACCCAATCTAAAACCTATTTGGAACATACTAGTGGTCTGACAAATGCTTTTCTCCCTACACACGTTTATTCTTTATGATATGGACTTATTTTTCATTTGAATTTCTGGGAACCAAAAGAGCTGTCCAGCTACTGCTCCATAATAAATGCACCTGACTCTTGCCCTGATGCCTTGAGAAAACTGGTGTACAATAAGGTGTATAATTTACCAACAGACAGACATACATTCATTCTAAACACAGGTGTCCATACCTGTTATTCTAAGACTTTGCAGTACAAGGATATAATTTTGATTGCAGTAAACTGTATTATCTGCAATACTTGTGTGCATTATGTCCTTTTAGTCACAACAAAAAGAGATTACAAAAGCTCCATCTCTTTCAAAACAGTGACACTGAATTGCAAACAGCTCGGGGTTTACTTTGCAGCCTGCTCAAACATTTATTTGTTTCTGAAGCCAGTGTCACACAGACCTGTCCCAAGAACAGGAAACTTGATGCAAAAGCCCAAATAATTAAAGTCTTGAGACGATGAAACACAAGCTGCCAGGTGCTGCAGGAAGAAATTTCATTATGCTAGCAAGACATTAGTTTGGACTGGAAACAAATTTTCATTCACCACAACAGATTTGCCCCCCTTCAAAAGGCTGTACTATACAGTCTTTTTTTTTTCTCCCCTAGCAATCAGACTTTTCCCAGGATAACACCACTGTGGGGTCTATGGATTCACTGACCAAGACATGCACAGAGAAGATCACATTTCTATCATTTGTCAGCTAGAATCATTCTGCTGTGTCAAACCCACACAAAACCTATCATACCCTCATCTCTTATGCTTTTAATGTTGCCAAGTATCTGCTAACAGGGGCTATCAGGAAGGGTTTTGGTGCCTTTAATTCACCCTTGATGGAGTTCTTAAAAAGGTCTAGAACCAACATCAGCACAACTGAGACCAAGGAGTGTAAAAGAGAAGCCTCCATTTTAATACATATTACTACTGACAGTGCATTTAGCAGTCAGCAAGGAAGAGCAGTGCTGTCACCTTTGGCTCAGAACAGCAGAAAATTCCAGTATATCTAGGCAAATTCTTCTAATTTTGTTTCAGCTGGTTGATTTTCCATCCACCTTCCCCAAAGATGAGGATATAATAAAGGAGCAAACTGCTTAATCTGTAAGAACACTAGAAGTATCTTGTCTGTCTTGACATTAGCTCAGAATTCCCTAAAATAAAACACATAATGCTCTAAACGTTTCCTCGTTCAATATTTTGTAAAATTTTACACACAAAACAGTTTAATGCAATGACAAAATCCTTTCTTATACTTTCTAGGGTTTTTCCAGTCACTAGTTAATCTCTAGTTTATGGTAAACTTCAATCAGTACAATTCCCCACAGCTGAAACTGTAACACTACACAACTAAAACTTTCCATCATAGGAAACAGGCAGTGACCACTTCTGTGCCTACAGTATAGCAAGCAATTACAAATGTATTCAGAAATAATAAAAATACTTCTTTATTTTATTAAAACATAGCAAAAATGGGGGGCTAGATTCAGAAATTAAAAACTGTCTTCATTAAGGTCTTAAATGTATATTTTTGTATGATAAAAGTAGTTTAATAGCAATTAGTAATGGTTTGTGAACACGTGGAATACAAAATTTAAATGATTGATTCAATTTCAGAACTATTTATAGACAGCATATCCAATCCCATTTTTTTGCCTAAAAGCATCCAACTAGTCTATCTCAGTGAGATAAATTATCAAGAATCTAATACTAAAAAGGGTAAAGGTTTTGCTTTATCGAATGCTCCTGTGATAAACAGAAGAATAAACTATAACCAAGTATCAATTATGTAATAAAGGTAGGCAGCTCTGACTCATTAATGAGCTGTTTATCTTTGCCCTCTTAAATTATTGCTTGGATATGCTTTTTATTATATTGTTCAAATCTTGTAACTTAATCTGAAGGAATGTCTTTGTGTATCTTGATTTAATTACATCTTCTCCTTATTTACTTTGTGTCCATTTAAATTACCAACATACAGAAGTTAGTTTTAATTGAACACAAACTCTCTAACCACCTGAAAGTAAGAGGCATGTACACTACTCCTAGGAGTGACAGCATGTGGAAGCAGACACTCCTGTGCTGCTCCCTCCTGTCACCTCCCTTGCAGAGCAAGGCCTTCCTGCTATTCAAAAGGGGAACCCAGAGTCAGAGTTTCACCATCAGCAATGGCAAAAAGGACCTTTCAGCTTCTTGGGAATCCAATAAAGGACCATCCCTGCCCTATTACTGAGATTTTTCTCAGTATGCTAACACAGACATTTTACCTCACACCAGGAAGGTGCTTTTGATGCACATCTCCTGGTGTTCTCCCTTCACATCCTCTGATGCTTCACAGATTTGTCTTGGAGAACTCTGAATTCTGCTTGCATGAAACTAACCCAGAAAGTACATCACAATTACAGATGAATAATCAGGCCAAAGGACCAGACCAGAATCAGTCCAAAGCAAAATCCTTTGTACTAGTTACCCATGACTTGCTAATATAGATACAGTTTTATTGACACCAGTGGCCCTTGCATCAGTCTATGGATTTAACTGAAGTGATCCCAATTTCATACAAGCTTGTGGTGTGCTGAGATGCTCAAGAAAGTACAGAATAATTCATATTGGAAGGGAACACCCACTCAAATGCACATTCTGTCCTTTGAAACCCAGCAGATAGTTTAACAGAGGCACCACTGAAAAAATAGCAGAACATGGACAATAGAGAGCTCTTTATCACAACAAATTACATCTAAAACTCAAGAACTGTATCCAGCTGTGCTGTAAATGCTCCAGCATATATAGTGCCTTGAAAAAAGCACACACCCTTGGAAATGCAAAAGAAATCCTGTTCAGGAAGAAAAATATTTAAATAGTAGTAAAATATACATTGTTAAAGATATATGACTAACAATATATTTTGAATTCCCAAAAGGGCCATCAAAACTACTAAGCAAAAGTCATTGCACAGGACAGGAATTTTAAAGGATAACAACTACATTGCTTAACTTTCAGGAAAAATAATTTGAAAGTTATTTGAGTCCTTGACTGTGTTTCCCTGCTTCCAGTGGTTATACAACTTCTATTTTACTCTGTCTTCTAACACTTTCCTAGCATATGCTTTCACAAGGGAAAGGTTTGCAAACAACTAGTACAGAAAACAAGGAAAAATGGCTGTGAAGTGTTATCTCTAAGTTAACTAACAGAGTCACCCCAGGGCTCTGTCAAAACTATGGACTCAAGTTACAGAGATTATGAATCAGATGAGAATTCAGGTTAAAAAGCAGTATTTTTATTAGCAGCAAATAGAGGTTCTGAATAATTACCTGTTCCAAGTCTTGAAGGCATTGCTGGCTCGCTTGAATAAATAACCTTCCATAACAATGCCATTGGCTGCATCTACATTGTATTCTAGTTTAGTATCATCACTGGAATAATCCTAGTACAAAGGAACAAGAAAAACACACTGCAGTTCAAACAAAACTTCAAATATGAGCAGTACTGTTGTCAAAGAGTAAATACCTAGGAATAAGGTTTTGCTCGCAACACTTATTAGTCAAACCATGACTCTCAGCCCCTGATGGCTTTTTTAAAAAAAGCAATTTTAAGCAATGAGAATGCTGAAGATTTTTACTTTACCTGCAACAAGGGGAATTTCTTATTCAGGTATTGGTGAACTCTACAGCCAAATAGAGGGCAAACATTGCTGACAGAGCATCTGATGCTTCAACTGTCTGATCAAATGGTCTCTCATATATTCCCAAGAAAGGGGATAGAAAAGCAGAGGAAAAGAAGCCATGAAAGTTAGGAGTCAAAACTGAGAAACAGTTGCAGCCTGCTGCAGATATGTATAAAGTCAGTCGTGCTTTAGCATTTTCTTCAGCTCTGTCATGTTGACAGCTGAGCTGCATAGGAACTTTGAAGACAAGTAATGAAATAAAGATGATGCTATCAGTTAACTCTAGAGTAAAGCAATCATGGTGCTGGCACTGATGACAAGACCTTAGCAGTAATTTTTTCTTTATGATCTTGGATAAGATTACAAAATTACAAGTAGGACAAAGGAATATGCATTTCCATCAACCTAATAACAACTAAACCCAGCTAATAACAATTAATAGCAGCTTTCTGAGCTTTAGAAAAGCTGACTGCTTATCTTATTATCTCATCTTTAGCAAAGGTAAGTTAGACTAAGTAATAACACATGTGATGATCATTTGCTTTCACATCTCATTGAGAACAGCATGGGCTCTTCCCAGGGAGGTAGAGTTCAGATATTCAGAGAGTGGGAGGCTAACATCTACTAAGGGTGCAGGAAAAAGCACACATGGAATGACATAATTTTTACAACTTTGTCCAGAAATGAAAAAAATATACATGCTGTAATTTTATTTCACTGTTATTAAAATGTATATCTTTAAAGTAGACTAGCAACATATGGCTTCTTCCCCTTAATATGGGTGTAAGAGACACATTACTGAAAATTAAATTTCAGAAGAAAAAACCAAACAAATTAAATACTAAAAAGACAGAACATTTTGTATTATGATTTTCCTGAACCTACAGTAGTTACTTTTCATAAATTGCAAACACCAGCTTTGTGTAATAAGTATATCTGAAAGTCTCTGCTTTGTACTTTGCTTCTTAACAATTTGTCTATACATAAAGGAAAAGAGGCAAGAAATATATATAAAAAAAGTAGCTTCAACACCAACATGGTCATTATCCCCAGGTAACAGCCCAGGATGCAAACAACTTTCGTGCTACACATGATGTTTACTCTTGTACATGCAGATGGTTTGGTCCAATCCAAGGTTAATTACACATGATAGTGAAATGGTTACAAATATTAAAATGGGCCCTTTAAGCTTCCCACTCAGAACAGCACAAATTCCTTAAAATTATTCACTGTTTTCATCTATTGCTAATCTGGATAGATTACCTAATGTTGAAATGTTAAATCTAGATTTTTACTATTGAATTGACAGATGATCAATGCAAGAGTTCTGAAAGGAAATGGAACTATCACATCACTACCATACACTGATCTGAATAAACATACTAGTTACAAAAGAACTCCTAACCAAAACAAAATCAATTTTTTAAATTTATTATTCAGCAATTAATAACTTTGATTTTTCTGCCTGTTTTCTAGATCTGAACATGCTGAACATAAAATACTTCATGTAAGCTCTCAAAATAAAAAGAGAAAACCACTATGCACAAACTTAGACATGCTGATGTCACATTCCCTACATTCCCCAAAAACTGATAAATTACTCTAACTTACCAGCTCCCAAACATAATGAAATCTGCTAAAGAGTTGCATCTTCCTGCCTCAGTGATGCCTGCAGCTCCTTGTCAAGTTGAAGATAACATACATTTCCCCAGTCTTTTTTGTCCAACCTACTATGTAATCACATTTTCCTTTGGGTCTGGAGAACTGCTGCAGAAAATGCAGCTGTCTTTTCCAATGACTCCAGATCTATGCTTTGAAGGTGTATATGGATCATTTACCATGCCACACTCTAACTTAGAATTATCTAAAATACTGAGCCTTCTCATGAAATGCATTTAGTGTCATTTTTAATTACTTCCCTGATTGAATTCCACTTTTACAGAGCAGAAAAAGACATTAAGAGTATAGAGGCAAATGTCAAATATCTCCTTAACTGAACATGGCAGACTACCAGCTGGAAGGGGGAAGGAATAAGGCTTCCAAGTGCTTTATCCATAAAACTTCATTGATAAAGTTGTGATTAGGAAAAACAATCAGAAAAAAAAATGCCCCATTTCAATTCCATGGATAAAAGTAGAAAAAAACCCCGAAATCAGCTGTGTTCTGATCTTAGTCTCTACTATTCTACAATTTAAAAAATAGGAGCAAAGCAGTCACATTATAGTTTATTTTTATCTTGGTGCATGGAAAAGTTTAATGAATCATGAAAAATAATCTGGGGTGGAGAAAAATCCACCCATATCTTTCCAGTGTCCTGCATAAGAGAATCACATGTTAATAAACTCAGTCACTGTATGTGATTCAGAATTGTGTATTCTGCCAGCAGGCACACAACTGATAAAGCCTTCATTTTAAACATAATTAAACTAATTAGGTGTCAGGACTAAAGTAGATTTCACCTAACCAGAACTAAGAAAATTTAGCCAGTATTATGTAATTTTCACCGAAGTGCTACATCACATATTTCATTCAGTTTTGAAAGAATAAACATCTATGGCTTCTATTCTGACACTGATTTTTCACGGTTGGCTGCTACTGGAAGAGAAACATGTAGAAGTGGGTTATATAAGTGAAGCACACAGCATGCTTTCATGCCTTTTTTTCCACCCTTTTTCTTTAAATGTCCATGGGGTACAGCAAACCAGCTGGCAATGGAAAAACAACTTTCATCTCCAGAAATAATACTAATCTGGTGTGTCACAGAACACTTAATATTCTTGACAGTGTTTCAGCGAATGCATTTTCGTATGAACGTATCAATTCATCACACATCCTTGATTCATTTCAGAGCATGTTTTCTGTTTCTCTGTGCATGATTTTCTTGTTCCCCCAAAACAAAACCTCCCATTACTTTTCAGTAGCAGAGCTTTTGATTTACTTTCAAAATTGCTATCAGGCCATGAAAGCTAATCAAACCATTTTACCAGTAAATCTTAGGAACTATATTTTAACATTTAATGTGTAACCCAAATTATTTTTTACTTTAGAGACTCAGCATTTTAAAAGTTTTTTAAAAAGGCAGAAATTGGGAGAGCATAAGTACTAAAGAAAACACTAACCTGAAAAATTAGGCCAGCATACACTAAACAGGAGGTACTAATTGTGCAAACCTCCCATTTAGAAAGCTGCTCCCATTCCCATTCCATTGGCAAGAGATATTTGTCACACTTAAGCTGAAAAGTCCCTCAAGGAAGGGTTTGAAACACAGACACCACAAGTAACACGGTTTACAGCCCAAGACAGAGTGAGAGAATGTGAGAGTGCCATTGAGCAAACAAGTCACTTGAAATACAAGCACATCTCTGGTTTTGGAGACAGGAGTTAGTCTGCACAACTTCTCAACAGCAGCTCTGGTTTATGCCTGCTTTGTGATTGTAGTAGCAGCTGGTTTCCTACCACCTTGTTTACTCAATATGTTAATTTTCAAATCATTCTCACTCCAGCTGTTTCCTGAGCACTTTTTTGGAAGCAGATTTTTACTTTAATGGAAAAGGAATTTGAATACAACAAAAACTTTTTGAAGTTCAATGCAAATACTTTTCCTGTATCATCTTCATTTTAGAACAAAATATTAGGTCTGACACAATACCAAAAAACCATGAAGCTGTTTGCAGGTGCAACTGATTTTTAAAATATTTTCTTAATTAAACGTGTTGCTACAGCACGGGGCTGCAAACTGCTCAGGAAACAAGAGTCATGTCTAATGTATTGACACTGTGACACCACTCTTAATATTAATCTTTACTTATAAAAATATCTTACAAAAATTTCCCAGAATGATCATGAAATTTCTAGATTAATTCACAGCATGTGTTGCTCCAGTTTAATACAGAAAAAATATTTTCTTGCACTGAAAAAAATAAAGTTAAGAAAATGTTTCCTGCACCTTTGCTGAGTAAATAGACCACAAAACTTATAAGCAATTAAAAAAAGTAAATCAGATTATCAGCTCTGCTAAAAAAGAAATCACACTATATTGGTGACCAAGCCCTTCCATGACACTTTTAATAGCCTCTCCATCAACAGCCTAATTAAGGACAATGATTATACAGAAAAGTGAGATGGATTATTTAATTAGTGCAATTATTCTGCATGCATATGCACATATATGCAAACACAGGTAGTAGGTGGGTAGGTGTGTGCACGTATGCACTTACCTATACATTTCAGAAAAGGAACTGCTCTTTATCCACACAATGAAGGAAAGGCATCATTCTGAAGCATTAGATTAGAACTTCAGTATATTAAATACATATATACCTCATGGAATATTCAACACAATAAGCTTCAGAAGTTTCAGTTGTTAAAAAACATGGAAGGATTTGGCACTGGAAGATTTGGGAACATAGTGGAAAACAACATGACAAGACATGAGAAGAGAACGGGGAATAAAGTTGCCATCTGGGACAGGGTGACCAGATGACAAGTAGTGATAAAAAGATCCAGAGTCTAAGGCAGTTCTGAAATCCTGATGAGCTGGAAGCTAACTTGGTGTGAAGGTTGGGAAAAGCAGGTAGGATGAGACAAAAACAGACAATGTAATTTGAATAAGGAAATAAGAAAATGATTGGACAAGCTGTAAGAGGAATCTCCAATAAAGCACAGTCTAGGCATTATCAGCACAAAATGAGACAGTGACTTCTCTGATAAGGACAGGAGACAACACTTACAACTCAAAACACAGAACTTAAGAGGACAACATACAGTACATTCTGATTGCCCTAATTATATTTTAGAGACAGCATAAAATTGTCAATTAAAGTAAGCAACAATAAAAGGAACATTATTGTGCTTGTCACTCCTACTAGAAATCAAGAAAATTTATATTACACACAGATATGGCTTATCAAGTTTCATGAAGCTTAAAAGTTTCAGTAATAATTGAAACTAGTAGAAATAGTTTACCTGTAAAGCAGCCTTAAGCAGCATTTGAAGAAAAAACAAAGACTGTAAATACCATTGGCAACAGCAGTGATCATAATTCATGGTAACTAGTTATTATTTCTATGGCCAATTAAAAGATAATTGCTCATAACTTACGTCCTTCAGCAAGCACCACTGTTCTCTTAACAGAAAACCTCTCAATTACTGTCCATTCCTGAAACTGAGCCTTTAAGCCCAAAAAACTTAAACTCTGACCTTCAACATTAATTCTCAAGCAGAGAATTCTCTCCATCTTTCCCATTCCTCCCTTTCTTCCCCTTCCTTGCCTGCATTTATCTCCTGACTCTAAGCACAGCATGTCAGCTCTGCCCTCATCATCACATCTGCTCAATTTCACAGCAATCCTAATGCTTCCCACCAACTCCTAAAGGGATGACAGGATGCACCAATAAAAATGTTTGCAGCAACCCAAGATGTTCTCTTTTCCCATGAGTATTAATATTGGCTCCTACTAAGGCTACCCAATTTACAATCTCAGAATGTTTTCATTCCTGAATTTATTTAGTTATCAGATTTCATTTCTATTGGGTGGAGTTTTTAAAATTTATGCCACTTGAACAGATCCAGAACATATTTGAATGAGAGTAAGAAGTGTAGCATTAATACCTTTAAACTGGTATCTAATCCCTTTCAAAAGTGCCTGTAGCTCACTACCAGAGAGTTCAGTGGAAATATTTTTAATTTCTAGCATTATATCTGCAAAACCAATACTGATCTAGAGCTTCTGAAACATCCAAACAGAAGTCATTCCCCCAACATGAATTACCTACATTTTTCTCAAGAAGTAAAAAGAATTATTGCACAAATCTTTCCCAAAACACCAATTAAAAATTCTCAATACCATATCTGTGCACAGCTGAACCAACTCTTTACAAAAGTTTACTTTTGTTCTTCATATGCAACAGCAGCTTCCACGCAAGCTCCAAGTGCTGCACTTGGATTTGGCACAGTCCAAAGTGAAACTTATTGCTGTAGGGCTGTGCAGCACATACACTTCTTCTACAAACACACAGCATGGAAACACAAAAACCTGTACAACTTATTCAATTCAAGGTAATAGGAATTAGGAGTTCTACTGAAATGTTAGAATCTCAGCAATCAAATAAATTCTACTGTTCTATTTATGTTTCAGTAAAAACTAAGCATAATATTTTGTTCAGTAACACAAAATTAGTATCTGCAATCCAACCTTACACTTAATGACATGTCAGTCTGTCTCTCTGCACTAAAAATACCATCCCTTGCAGTTCTGATGCAGAGATGCTGGGGAGAGATGCTACAGATAAGAAAAAAAAGTGTGTGCAGCCTGCCTTTTACATTCTGTTTAGTACCTTTTGTTGAATAGTGGAGTGCTTTTGCTCCATATCTCTCTTCTCCTTCGCAGCATCTATAGCCAACTGATCCAGCTGTAAAGAGAAACAGAAAATTGGATCTTTCAATTATCATAAGAAATTTGGCTCAGTAGATTTCACAATGCTGACAAAAAAAAAGAAAGAACTAACACATTATGTCTAGACATTGCAAGACTTTTCTTTTATTTGCATAGCATAATTACTTCTTTGTCACAAATTGTTTACCTTGAATAACCACTGAAGCCTCGTTTAAAGCACTGCTCTGCCACCCTGAATTAACCTCTACCAAGGTGTACATTTCTTGCAAGCATTAGAAGAACTGTCTCAAAGAACAGCATGGTGCCAAGCATATGCGACTCTGTACCGCATTGGTGCTCAGTCTCCCAGGAGGATGACTCATGCTTTAGCTGCTCTTGCTGGCCTATGCAGCAGCACTGGCAGGAGCAGCAAAAACTAGAAGGAGCAAATGCTATGGATTTTTCCCTCCACAAAGTGGGAGAACTGTCTCAATTAGGATTTTGTGTCGATAGTTTTGATCAGCTGACCATCAGTACTCGAGCAAGATTGCTTGAGATCTTAGGTAGAGACAATCAAATTAATTTTGGAAATAAAAATATGGTTTTGAACATAACCTAGATTGTCACAGAGAATATTTAAGTTAGTATCCTTACAAAGTCTCTGATGATAAAAAGGACACTAGCCAAAAAAAATTTCCTTTTACAATCACAAAAAAAAAAAAAAAAAGAGGAAATTTAAGATACCCTGTAAGAGAAAGCTTGATTGGGGTTTTCTTCTGTGGTTAGTTGCTTGTTTTGGTTGTTTTTATTTTACAGTTTTGATTCCCTTGGTTTTGTTGTTTGTTTGTTTTATCCAGGCCTTCATGTTTAAGTTAGGAATGCAGCAGGGAAGCAGATGTTGCCTGAAAGCCCAGCCTAGAGCCTGTACCACAAGGCTGCCATTGCCCGGCCGGAGCGCGCCGTGCCAGCGGTGCAGACGCAGCACCGTGTGCAGGGCTCAGCCCGCGGCTCTCCCTGCTGTGGGACAGGGCTGCCTCTGCTGCAGCCCATAGCCAGAACAGCAGGAGCACCAGCTCCCAGCTGGGGCACTCACTGCACAGGGCACAGTGACTGACAGATCCTCTGATCCACCCACAGAGAGCATCCCCGCCACCGCTCTCAGAACCGCAGTGGCAGGCCCTGCCAACTCTGGCTGGTTCCCCAGTCTTTTACTTGCCCTGCTTGACATGATATAAATAACAGAAAAGGGACACTAACAGGCCCTTACACCCTTGTGCTAGACATTCTCCAACAATTATGGAGCCATCAGAAGGCTGAAACATCTGGATCCAATTCTGTACTCTGTTACTTTTTTTAACTCTTCTCTCCCTGTCTTGCCCTCTGGCTCAAAAGGCCGTATCAGCACTTGCACACCTTTACAGGTATTTGTGAACAGGAACACATTGAAGGCTGAAGTGTCCAAATGCCACATCTATGCAGCTTTAGCACTTAAAAATAACACAAGCCTCTAAAACAGACTGGGCTCAAAGATTGTTTTGCATCAACAACCTGTGGGAAACCCTTTCTCTGGTGATAAAGATGAGAACTGGGTCAAGTGCTGTTCAAAATTTTATAGGGATCAAGTTTCTTGGATTCTGCAAATGGACCCCAAGAAATTCTTCCTTCTACCCCATTAGATGAAACAGAAGGCAGTCACTCAGGGTAGGGCAAACCTCTAATTTACCTTGAATACAAGCATTTGAGGGTACATTTACCACAGCCAAAACAAAACTCTTAACAGCAGCTCATTCCACCAGTTACTTTTTTTTACTATGAAGACAGCATTGCACCATTCCTGTTTCCAAGCTCAAACCAGAGTTTCTTCCTTTTCACTCAGGTGAGCAGCACATCAATTGTCTTAGAAGAGACCAACAGCATATAACTATCAAAAGCTGTAGCAAATCACAACTAAACTATCAAAATCCCAGTCATTATAGCATTACTGAGTAATTTTCAGAAAATTAGGTTTTTCAAACGACTGTATTTACTGGTAAATGTATTTTTATAAACATAATGCTCTAACTGGCATTCTGAGGTGAATTAAGTCAGACTAAAATACTTAGCTTTTTGAGTAGTCATCTCAATGAAAATTCAAATGTTTTCTTTTTAAGCTAACACCACATTTCATATGAAAAGAACCAAAAACCATAGTTTCCATGCAAAAGCTCATATTATGCTTGCACACTATTAAAGATTCCCATACAATGATCTGATTCCCAAGGCATCCTACCCTGACCTGAAGTATCCAGAAAGCAAAATTGCTTAATCCTATTCCATCACAATAAAACAGTTATTTTGAAAATACAGACAAAAATAATTCAAAGCTATAACTGCACTATTTAAGATGAATTTTATTACTTCAGATGCTGCTAACACTTGTAATTAAGATCATACACAAAATTCACCTAGGAATGAAAACTCACTCACCAACAGAAGGAATCTAACAGCATTTTCACAAAAATCCAGCAAATCCCCGTTATGTCACAACATACTTTGTTAAAGGCAGAAGCTTCAACCAGTACAAGCTGCAAAGCCATCAACTGGTAAAACTTTCAACAGTTATTTACAAATCTGCTTCTGTCATGAAAAATATCCATTATTTAAATGCCAAGGTCTGCTACAAAAGAACAATTGCGCAAGTTGTACAACTTTAGGGTCTTCAGTCCATCTTGCTCCAACTGCAATATATGTAAAACATTCTTAGCTATGGATTTTCTAAATTTAACTCCTTCAGTTGCTATGATACCAGCACCAAAATGAATGCTACACAGTGCTCCCTACCAGATCAAGCAAAAGCATGACCAGACATTCAAAAATAACCTTGTGTTTTCTTGCTCCAATCACGTCAATGAAAGGGAAACTTTGAAGCCTGGCTGATGGCATAACCCACTATTAACTCCATAGTTTGTGTCTCCTTTCCCTATCCCCTCCTCCACAGGACACGTGTTACACAGCCAGACACTACAGTTCAACACTTACAGCCCAACTAGAAGGGTGTTGAAGAATAAAGGGCACAACTATGGAAGAGTAACATCCACCTAAGTGTTCAGGTGCCCCTATTACACCAAGACCTGACATGTCTCTACACATAATTAAGACCCAACTGGGGCCTAGTCTAGCAGAAAAATAACTATTCAGCCATTGGATTGTTGGAGTTATTTTCTACAGCTCCCCATCTGCTCCACTGCACGGCTCAGAACAATTTAATCTCTTATTCATTCAATGCCACTCAATGAATGACATTCAATGATGCTTCTACTCAAGATGAATGTAAAAGTTTGCTGTAAAAGTTTGCTTTTTATTTGCTTTTTTATCTGGACAGACACTTAAAAATTTGATTAGCTCCTTTGTAGATCTGTTTGGGAAGCGGCAATAGAGGGGTTTATATCAGAGCACTTGTTGCAAGTCCTCAGGCAAATAGAAAGTGCTCATATAACTTGCACTGAAAAGCAAGTCAAGACACTGCTGAGTCTTCTTCCTGCACCACAGACAGATCTTCATTTCAATAGTGTATGTTCCAATCTATTTGCATAACCATTTTCAATGTCTCCTGCGTGCAGTTGGCAGTGGTCCATCTAAGCTTTTCATGAGTCCCCTGCTGAAAACCCAGAAGTGTCAATTGTCTTTAAACAACAAAACTGGGTAAGAAGGATTCCATGCAGGAACTAAATTTTGCACTACTTATTAAAATCATACTTCCATTTTACGGTCTAAGCTGCTAACATCAAAGTTATATTTACACACATAAAAATTTAATTATACAGACTGCATAATTTATACAGTAAATAAAGTATATGAGTAGAAGAAAAACCAGTCTAATCTATTTTTGATTATTAGATATATTTATAAACATGGGTGATATACAAAAATTTTGAAATCCAAATAATCCAGTATCCTGAATATCACAATGTATCTCACAGAGCAGTACATGGCTATGCTTAGGATACAAATCCTAAAGGCAGCATTAATTTTAGTAAACAGACAACTTTCAGTTTGTAACTATTTTCATTCCTTTCATTACAGCATATTTTTTATTTTTTGCCTGTATCATACTACAACTCCCTTTTTGTTGAATAAATCTGTGAAGTACCTGATATGCTGGCATATATAAAGATTTCTTCCATTTCAGCATATAGTTACGCATTTTTAAAATAATTTGTTACCTGTGCACCAAGCTCTTTCATGTAGGGCTCAAGTTCACTAAACAGATCATAGCCTTGATGGAAAAAAGCCAGATGTGCATACATAAAGGATAACATCTAGAGGGAACAAAGTAAATATTTATTCTCCTAAAAATGGTATCACATATCACATAAATATGTCATTTAATTCACATAACCTACAATTTCATGTTTAATTTCCTCTCATGTCCTGATAGTTTTACATCAATAAATCATAGAGCTTCCAATGTTGTAAAATAAACGTGCAAAGTAAAGCAAGAACAGAACCAAGCCAAAAATTTCAGAAATCAGTTGATAGCATTAGCTCCATGAGCAAAACAAAAGAAATCTACTTAATGGCAGAAAACTAGTTCTAATTCATGTCACCTGAAATTTTTGTTATCTCTCTTTAACTGGGACATGTAAGGTACAGAGGGGCTATAGAATATTTTACTAATGATTCAAACTCATAATAGCTGAAAAGACTGTCTGGCCTTAAAATAGAAAACAAGTTGGGAGCAGAATAGCAGGCAGTTATAAACCAACCCAAGTAAAGTTTCTGCTTTTTAAGAGATTAAGAAAATTATGGGAGAGCAACTTCAGACATTTGAAAGAACAGCACTGTTTAATTTGTCACTGTCCATCTCAATAAACTTTTAACAGAGATGTGAAGTAGAAAAGGGAATTCAATGTGAAGCAAACTGGCATGCAGGTATAGCTTTATATTAATTTAGCAGATACCATACTATTCATATTAAAATTTGCCCTGTTCTTAGAAAGAACAGAATTCATCTTAGAATAGATTATAAGTAGCACTTACTGTTTACAAAGTAATAAATCGGACCTAAACAGCAGAATTCTCAGCAAACAAAGTGATTTTAACCATGGAACAATTACCAACAGATCAAGAGTAGTGAAAACCTACAAGTGTTCAAATCTGAACCGGAAGGATTGTCAAAAACAGTTAAACATGCATGCCCAGCTACAGTACAGGCCAAACTGACAGTCACCAAACTGCCAAATGTATTGATAACATTCTGATCAATAAAAGGACTAAATCTTTAACATACTGCTTTGTGGTCATATTTTTAATTTCAGATGGATTAAAATATTTGATATACAGAGGATAAAGTGTATCTTACCGATTTTAGGATTTCTGCTCTCCTTTTAGATTGAAGAACATTGATCTAGGAGAAAAGAACAAACAAGTAATTCCTTTCATTCCAAACTTATTTTATTTTCAATTTTCCCCATACAATCACATCCAATCTTAAAACACTGGAAGAAGACAGCTCAATATCAGACTTCCCAAAATACTTTTAAAAGAAGATGCACTCTAGTTCTGTCATGACATCAGTGATGCAATCAGAGAACACTTGCAAAGCTTGAGCTTCATGGTGATAGTTACAATTTTCTTATATCAGTAGGGAAAATACAGGACACCACTTGCTTGCTAGAAATGAAAACCAATTTTTTGTATTCTATTACAACTTTCAAGGAAAATTGGTTTTCATTTTCAAGAGATTGAATTCAAGATGTTTCAAGCAGATGAGCCAAGCCAGCCCACCAACTCCTTGCAGAAGTTGCAGTGCTGCCAGGGCAGAGTGAAGGATGGAAGCAGGGTTACTTTTCCTCTCAGACTCACAGTATTTAAGTATTCCAAAAATAGTCCCAGGCAAGCAAGAACGTAATAGGTTCAATAAGTAACTTCCTGGGTATACCTGGGCTTTTAAGCTAGCTGAAGTCACTGATTAAAGGTGTTGCCCTAGAACTTAGGGCATTCCACATTATATAGAAAAAAATGACCAATTTTTCACATTCACCTACTTCCCCTATCTTCTTTATCCAATCTTAAAAGGTTGCCGTCCAAACTACAGATTTTACTTTAAAAGACCCACTTAGCAGAAACAGGCTTGATTTTGTAATTTAACACATCTATGTCAGTTTAGAATTTCAGCAAAATAAACAAACTTGCTGCAGCTATAATCAAAACCAGATTCTACTTCTATACTTAAGTGGTCATTATTTTGGAAAACTTTCTGCAGCAAAAATAATTGAGATTTGTTTGTATAGAATAAACCTTCGGCCTGTGAGGCAAAGAAAAATAAAAGGAAAGCAAAGGTTTTGAATTACAGTTTAGAGCAAATCTAGCTACAAGAAGACCACAGTTGTGAAGTCATTTTCCCAGAAGAATCACTGAAGCAGACACAATTCCTAAAACTGAATTGATTTCTGTCCACGTTGAGAGATGCTGAAACTGTTCCCAGTTACTCTAGATGCATCTGTATCCCAGGAACTGCTCATACTTTGAACATACAAATTCCAGGAGGAAAACAACCTGCAGTTCAAAGCACACACAAGGAACTGGCCTCCTATAGTAGTGGCTGCCAGCTGCCCCCACCATTTAGTGCTAGTACAAATAATCCTGTGGGGAATAATTCACACCACTTGTTAAACATCAAAATGACCTTAGTGTTTAAAAAGCTGGAGTTCAGAATTGACCACTGACCACCATGTCTGTGAACATGCCCAGGCTGATAGGCTCCACTTCATTTTACAACTCATAATGCAATTTATAGAGAAGTTAATTAAGCTTTAAATAACTGACTGGACTGTCACAAATCAAGATGATAATGTCTAATATAAAACCAGCTTAATTGTAAATAGCTGTTCTGTTTTTGATCATAGGAGAAGCTCAGACCTGTTTGGGAGCCCTCAACCCCTCACACCATCTGAGTTGCAATAATCCTGTTTTGCTGTAGTTGTGGATAAGTATGAAGCAGGTGAATTTTAAGTATCAAAAGAAGATTTACTACTGTATTTAAGAATAGAAAGCAGCATGACAAAGAACACCTCTCAACACCATACGGGAGATTTTCACTAAAAAGATAAAGAATAGTTAAGTTCTTGACTCCCCTTACAGCACAATCCCAAACTCTGAGGCATCTAGACAAGCTGAATACAACCCAAAGCATACAGATAAAATTGCAGAAATACCCAACGTCCTGTATCAGAATTATTCAGGTAATTTGCATTTCCTAGGCTAGATTACAGTTTTTACTTTATCTATATAAGAAACTGCAGCATATCTAACTCATGAAACATTTAGCTAAGTATCAGGCATATACTGGGGTTTTTTCATAATTAATGTTCAACTTGAAAATTAAACTGTGTCACTGCAGCAAGGGCACTGAATACCAGAGCATTAAAGCAATAGGAATGCATCAATTAATTTTCCTCAGATTTTATTAAAAAAGAAATTACTTGCAGATAAAGTTCTTCCTTTTTCCCTGAAACTCCACAGCTTCCAAGAAGCTTACAAAAAGAACTTCTAACATTGTAAAGGACATGTCTCTAACCATATGTAACAAATGGTTTTGAAAAGCTTTCATTGCTGTCCTTACCTGAAGAACATAATCCAGAGCTATGTGTCGAAAACACTTCCGAGTTGCAGTCAAAATATTGGTTGCTTCCTCTACCTCGTGTTGCTTATTCCTTTGAACTTGGGCATTTTTCACCAGAGCATTCTCCTTCTCTTCACTCACTTTTTCAAACTGTTTCTTTGCATCTTTAAATTTCCTAATATCTCTATGGAAAAAGGAAATATGGATGACAAATTAATTCCAAAGCATGAAAAAGAGTTTAAAGCTACACCAGATAGACCAAGCTTGGGACTGCTATAGCTGGTGTCTATTTCAAATTTTATATTCTTCAATACATGTGGGTCGAATGGAAATCCACAAATTATGACAGAAGCTTCTTGTCTTTCTTTTCCAAGGGAAGGACAAAATTGAAATGTAACTGAACACATCTAATGCCTACTGGGGAAAAGCTTTGTCCCCCAAGCTTAGACAATTACAATATGTAATTAGATCAGTAATTCATCCTATTGCAACATTTCTGCAGCTGGATCTAAAGCCTCAGTGACTCGGGGTGATTTTTGACAAAGCCTTAATATACACTTCTCAATTTATGGGTGGCAATTTACAAGAAGGATGTTTCACTTACCCACTCAAATCAGATTTTTAAAATTCCATTTTATGTATAATTTTCCCATTACAAGTGCAAATTAACTTACTCTTTAACGAAAGTCTGAAGCTGTGTTTTAATTGATCTTTGGATTTGGTCAAACAGAATCTGAAAGAAAACATTATTATGTAGGTCAGTAACTTGGAGGTATTCATACCTTCTGATTTCAGAAATACCAATGGTAATTATGCAGAATTACACAAGAATGTCATTATTAAACCACTGTGTCTCTAATATCAAAATATAAATCCCTTCACAGTAGTTTTGAAATAAATAAAAGATGAGGGAGAAAATAACGAAAATAACTCAAACCAAGCATCCTTTGCCACTCTTTTCTTAAAGCCTGTGGTTATAAGGAGACATAAGAGCTTCTCTCATCCTGACATGCCTGGTATCATAGAAGTTTATTTATGTTAATTGTACAGTAATGTTTCTGAAGAAACAACTTTGAATGTTAAGGAGCCATTTTTTTTTCTTAGACTTTCACAATTTATCAACAATTAAAAGACAAATGAAACTACAGAAAGAACATGCTCCTAACTTCTGGCAAAAACCCCAAAACCACAGATTGAAATTAATGCTGAAAATGCAGCATATATGAGTATTCAGCACCATCTCCTTTACATGAATGTTTGTAAAAAAACACCCACTGTTGGACTACTAAAAGGAATAGCTGATTCTTTTTAAGAATAAGTAATTTAAGCAATGGTTCCAAAATATCTTGAGATTTGGGAAGGCTGGAGGCACAAAATATAATAAATTCATTTGAATTGTAAAGTCTAAGGTATTTGTTAAGTTTTTAAGGCCAAGGCACACCTGGATGTGAGATAATTTGAATGTGCTCTTATGACCCAAAAAATTCTAACCGGAAAATGAAAACACACATTCCTTCAGCTTCACATCTGCCCTCTGAATTTTAGGATGGAATGGAACAGGTCAATGACTACTGGATAAATCCTTTTGTCACTTATTGTGCAGACAAAAAACATTGCCTCAATTTTCAACCCTTTTACACCTCCAATTCTACATAACAGAAATACACAAGGCAGCATCACAAAAATAAAGTTGGCCCAGTTTAACAGAATCTCTCATAAAAGGTAAAGATCTTGAAATATTAAAGAATTTTCTTGAAAAAGCAAGCCAAAACCTCAAAGTTTAAGGTCAAAAAATGTTTTCCTTAAATGTTCTCAGACTCTTTATTAAGATTTGGAAATGGGAAGCTATGTAATGCCAAATACTGACAGCAAAACCTTTACCAGCTCATCTCTCTTTTCTAGAAACACTGAAAGGAAGCATGACTGAGTTGAAGCCACTCATTAGCAGTGGTACTGTACCTTGCATCCAGTCTCCATGCTAGGAGCTCTTCAAGACCAAAGCAACTTGCTCCAACCTCACATCTGACCCTGATTTAGGCAGGCAGTCAAACCATCCACACCTCCTGAGGACCCTTTCAACCAGAACTGTATCTACCAGTAGCACATGGAAGAACCTGTTTGTATTCCCACTTTGGGAAACCAGAAAAGCAGACAACTAGAATAAAGAACTTCTTGACAAACTGGAAGTCAGGCTGGGACTACTCCCACTGCTGACATTTAAGCTTGCCAGTTCCTGGGGAGTGCACCAATCAAGATCAATACCAAAAGATAAAACCAGATGGGAACTCAAATGTTTAGAGGACTCCCAGAAATATGAGCCTTGCATTCTGCTTACAGTAATGAAGAGAAAAAATGTGCTGGGCAGAAAAACACATAGACATAATTTCCCCTAAAAAAACCAGAGAAGTGCCCAGACCATGATCTGATTAGATTTACAACCTTGTCAACATACTACCTTTCATACACTGCAAGTCTAAGAAAGCTGCTATTTGCCATAAGCTGTCCCAGCTACTCCCCCACTGCTGAATCAGGGAAGATGCTGCATTAGGCTGGTCCCTGCCCTTATTTGTAGCAAAGCCTGACACGAAAAAACTGACAGTCATCCAGAACTCAGTGGGAGCATCTCCTACCCCTTCCATCCTTCCTTTCCTCTTTTTCCTCTAGCTTCACCCTCCTACTGGCTCTGTCACCTTGGTCAGCAACACACCTGTCACTCTGAGCCAGGAAGCCCTGCTGAACTCAGCAGATTCACAAAAAGCAATGCAGAACCACAACACATCTGGCAGAGCAATTGTGCCTCACTCCTGATGTTTGTGCCTTTGGTAAAAGCCACTTTGTTCTCACTGTGCCTGAGCACAGCAAGGGCATGGAGGGAAAAAAAAAGCAGGGCAAAGCTAGATGGGTCCTACTTAGATCTGAAAAGAAATCTTCTTCAATATGGTTTGTTCTTTGCTTTCTGCCTTCAAAGTGCCCAAAGGGAAGAGTTGTGCTATGCCAAATTTTACCAAAGCAGTGCAAGTACCATCACGTAGAATAACAACAGCAATAACACAGGACCTATGTCAGAGGTGTCCAAAAGAGCAAACCACAGATAAAAGACATGGTTAAGAGGGATTCCAGCAGCAAGATGTGTGATGAAGAGGGACAGCCTGGCTTTATCTGCTCCATCTACTCTGCAGAAATCGTTGACATGAAAGTAATAATTGCTCCAGAACTGCTGCTTTGAACCTTGGCCCTCCCTTCTCTCTCCAACCCAAGAACCACTGTTCACTTACTCCCTTCTTTACAGTTTTCATTAGATTGTACACTCTGTATAATGGAAAGAAAATCAAACACAATGCTATTAACCTGCTTTGCTTTTCCTCCCTTCCATTCCAAAAGCATGCATTTAAAACAAAAAAAAAGCCTAATCAGACACTTTTAGAAAGCTAAGTCGAAGCTAGCAGACTTCCATTTCATTCTATCTTGTCAATTTTTCGACTCCCAGTGGTATGAAAAACCCACATTTTAAGTGTCCTGCATATTTTCAGCACTTTGGAGACACTTCAGTTTGTTTGCAGCAAATTGCTGGGAAATTAACAAAGAGCAGTTGGGCCAATGAAAGAGGAAAAAACCGAAGAACAAACTTCTGAATACAAGACCAAACTCTTTAAAGGAAAAAAATAACAAAATTATAAAATTAGTTTTCAACCCAGGGAAAACTGAAGTTTCTGATTAACTCTGACATGCTAAAAATTACAATTAGTCTTAAATCCTAGCATTTTCTCCTTTCTCCACACTTACCTAAATCTGCTATCCTTCCAAAAAGAAAACTATTTGCAGATCATAGGTGCTTCATTTTGTGTATTTATAAAGGATAGGGGAGAAAGTAGCAACTATGGAAAAGACAATCATTATTTCAGACCACTAAAGCTCATAGTCTGTAACTGTTACCAAAAGTTTGATTCAAAAAGATTAAACTATCCAGTATTTCCTGTCTTAGAGCACCAAAGCTTACAAATTCCAAATGAAAAATAAACCAAGATGGAAATCTGCAGAAAAGGGGATATTTATAAATACCTTGTAAACAAAACATTATTAAAATAATTATAAGTATAAAATGAGAGTTATTTAACACCACTTAAACCATTACTTTGCAAACACTATCAACAAGAAAGGCTTTACCATTAATCTCTTATCAAAAATAACTGAAGATGAGCTATCAGTGCCATGTTGCAGCTAGAACTACTCACATTATGATAATTGATCATTTCCTGTAAGGTGTCAGAGAACTTCATCAAATTGGCCTGTAAAGAGAAAATAAAAGTGGTTTAAATTAAGCCCTATTAAAAACACAGCACAAAAGCAACAGTTCAGAGGTTTACATCTTTTCAGGTTTTATAACTTGGAAATTCGTTTTCCTTATAGCACTATTATGAGACTAAAACCACTAGGCTAGAAGGAGAGCATGGCCGTAATGGCAAATAAATCTATTAAAGATACAAGCATGAAAATTGTTACTTCTATCTACCTGTATATAAAGCACCAAACTGAAGAAAAGCAGAAAAAATTCAAATTGACTAAAGATATCGAAAGCACACATACTCTAAAACATTAATTTACAGTATTTAATATGACACTAACTAATATTTTCCACATAATTTTTAATACTCTGACTCAAAAAACCAGGTTAACGTGTTGCAATCACCTGTGCACACACTAATCTAACACCTTTTCTGAAATTTGGCAGACCCATGTCACTGCTGAAACTAAACAGCACAGACACCTGCAGTGCACCACAGCTGGGAAACCCCCACTCTAAAAGAGATAGCAAAGAAAAAGAGCAAAAAGGCAAATAATTCCATAAACTTCAACTACTTCTTTTGCCAACTGCTATGTTGTGCCTTTTTTAAGTTATGTTTCTCTCCCTCCACTTTCACCTCAAAAAACTTACCTCAACCAATGTATCTTTACAGGAATATTGTGCAAGGTCTCGAATTCCATTCATGAATTGCTTGTTTGCTGTACAAAATGCTTTCCCAGTGTCAATCATTGCAATACAAAGCTTCACCAGCTAAAATGAGTATATAAATAGAGAGAAAGCAGAAGGCTTATTTTGATTTGGTTTTTACACCATCATATAAACATGAAAACACTGAGCTTAGTAAGGCTACAAAATAAAAATTTCAAAAGTTACATTCTCACCCTCAGATTCTATGAAAAGCTTTCTACTGTGTAGTAACAGCTATAAAAATACTACTCTAGGTCATTAGATATGCTATTGGGAAAGCTACCACTCTATAAACTTTTAAAATTAGTTTTTACTTGCTTTATTGCTAACTGACATGTTGTGCGTATTTCAAGAGAGTTTTACACAGGCAAAAAGTACAGCAGCTAAAACATAACCCAAGCAAATGATGAGGTTATTGTGGTTTCTGAGGAAAAACACCACAAAACAAACAAAAACGAAACCCACAGCAGTTGTTTCATCCTGAGACACTCAGAATACAGGAACAGGAAAGCAAAAGGCTCTGTGCACAAAGCACAGCTGAAGAGCCACGATTACATCTCAGGAGGTGAAATCAATCATGTTTCCACTCACAGACTAATCCCTATGGCTTTCCACCCCTACCACTCACTGCTTCAGTCAGCACCTCAGGCCTCATGGAACTGCAGTCTGATAAGAAGGTCCTCAGTATCTTGTGATGGATGTTTTCCCCCTTCTTGAACCATTTATGCACTGGGCCATTAATGTAAGGACCACTGGTTACTGCAATTGCCAGGATGCTCTCCTGAGATGGGGTGCATTATGACTGAGCTCCCCCATCCTGAGCCAAGCTGAGAATAAAACCAGAAGACTGAACTTTCATCTCTGAAAGATCTTTCAAGGATGGTAAATAAATTATCATGAAAAGCAACACAGAAGCACTTGGTCCTATGTTGGAGCAAAGAAACCATCCAAGCATCCTTCCTGCCTTAGTTACCCAGTAATTTTTATGTTGACTCAGATCCTTAGGGAAAACATAAAGCTAAGAATGATCTTCCTCATTCTGATGAATGTCCAAGTTGCTTGAACAACAGACAGGAAAAAAAACCCACTATCAACATTAACCTTTTTCCTTTACCTTTGCTTATAAATTCACAAGCCTGAACTGGGCTTGCTTTCTTCCAGAGAGCACAACACTGCATACAATATAGCCCAAAGTCAAAGTTGTGAGACAATAAAACCAAGTTTAGTATGAACAACTGATCAGAAAAAGTTACCAACCAAGCCTAGACAAATTATTACCCTCAGGCCATAGTTGATTCAGCTCACACAAGAAGCTTGGCTTTCAACTTTAGTATTGTACTACAAGGCCCTGAATAATGCCATTTAAGAAATATGAGAATTCTTTTCCCCAAAAACTTTAAGACTGGTGGAAAAGCCAAACTTGCAGATTGGATTTTTCATATCCTTTAAATGCTCACAATGGGTGATCTACCAAAACAGATTCCACACCCCTACAGTAAAAATATGCGTTATACCCAAAAGTTTCACCAAGATTCACACCAAATCAAAATTAAGGATCCTAATTTATTTTGCAAGAGCAAGTTGCTAGATTATTAGCTACTAAAAACTAGAAATACTATTACAAGTAGTAAAGAACAAGTCTTCAGGCTTGACACCATCTTTTATTTGTTTCCAGCTTTCTGCAGCCAACTCAACAGCTGCAGGAAAAAAAGGTTGTATTCAAAAAGCAGTTAAGGAGGTAAACAAATGACATCTGCCTGCCATGCGAAAACACAGATAAAAATAATTTAAAACATTTAGCACAAACACAAAGGAAAGGCAACTTTATACAGATGAAAACCAAAAATAAGCCACTCTCAAAACACTAGCAAAGAAATAACAAAAGTTTCCAAAGGTGAGGAAACCAATAAACAGATATTAAGGAGCTGAAAAGATGCTACGTGTACTTTCTTATATACATGCACAAAGCATGACAAAATGCAGGATGAATTTTACAGTAGTCAAGTCCTCCACACAACAGTGAAGGATATACATACATACAATAGACATATATACATACATATATACATTTATACACACCTGGCTGCTGTGCCTGAGATTACCAGTGACAAACAGCATGGATTTTAAACCTCCAAAGCAGAGGGTACCCAGATGTCCCCAGTGCATGCCATTGTGATCAGCAGGCTCTGGGTGCAGCAATGACCAAGCCCTGGCTTTTATCTCACTGGGAGCTGAAGGAGTTTGCAGCAGCTCCCCGGGCTGAGTCACAGGGGCTCAGCGAGGGCCACTCAGGAGGGAATTGCACAAGCGAGGCCCCCGCCCAGGGAAGGAGCGAGTTCAGCTGCCCGGTGCTGCTCTGCTCCAGCCTGGCCTCCAGCTGGGAGCTCCACCTGGATCCCTCCCCTCTGCAGAGCAGGGTGCTCGGTCAGCCACTGACACTTGCCAGCTGTGAGCTTTAAAACAAAACCGAAACACACTTTCTGATGTTTCTGAGACAAACCTTGTTCAATTAAAAGCTTACCTTGTCAAGTTTCAGTTCCAGCTCTGTCACATCTCCTTCTACCTCTTCTAAAGCTGCCCTGCGTGTATAAAAGAGGTTTTCCTTTAAAATTTTACACAAAAATACTCTGAATCTGGGGAGAAGGGGCAGACATGCATTCATTTAACTCATTTATTGCCATCACAGTTTTACTTAAATTTCAGCTATAAAACAGCATACATTTTAAAGAACCACAAGAATTGCAGGAAATTTGACAGTACAAAGAAGAAAAACTACATCACTGCTAAAATGTGGTCTATTGATAAAGATTTGAGATCAAATTTTATCAATCCTGATATCTATCACACCAAAATAGGTTTCTTCTCTTCTTGTATAGACAATAGTCTATATGTTTGAAGCTAACAACAAAGGAAAGAAAGTTGGAGGGAATTTTCTTAACTCTTTTAGTGAACTCCTGGCTCAAACCTGCAAATAAGGCAGCTATTTCATGAAAAACCTTGCAATGAAATTAGGAACAAATACAGCACTTGCCATGTGCCAATTACCCTGCAGGGAGTTCAGATGGCACACTTGATTAGATCATTTACCTCTGGTCTACACTGGTCAAATCTTCCAGGCCAGTCAAATTTAACTTGCCAATAAAAGCTGCTTTCATTGAGCATTGCTAAAGCACAGATTTTTTTTTTTTTTTCCTTCTTCTAAGCTCATGTTTCTTTGGACACCTCCTTCCTTATTGCTACCTGAAAAAAACATGAGACTGAGGATGGATGACTCTTTGTTCAGAGTCCATGAACATTGCTGCTTCATTCAGGCTGTTGCCTTGAGAGCCAAATGGACTCATTTCTGTCAAGGAGAGCCCCTGGTGCCATCACAGGGTGCCCATTCTTTCAGTCATTCCAGCATAACTGCTCATGGAGCCACACTGTTTACCAGTAGTAGCCTGCCTTGGAGAAAAAAAAGTAATAGGAATTTTTCTGAACTGCTTTTTGGAAAATTGGATCAGACATTTCACATTTCAGTCCTACAGAAAAACCCAGCTCTTCCTGGAAAAAGTTATATAGGCAGGGAAGAATGATTTGGAGCAGGGATTTCTTAAGCCAACTTTATACCACTGAGGAGAGACTACACACAACCACAGCTTTACTGTCTCTTGCTAATTCCATTCTAGTTCACATGAGTACAAGCCAAGAACACAAAAAAAAAAAAAAAAAAGACTGAATCAGGCCCCAAGTTCAGGAAAAGCAGTTTTTTTACAAGAACAGTTCTGAAAAATGCTGCCAATTGCTTGCAGATCTCAAAAACTGAGCATGACATTCCCAGCTTTTACAGATTTCACTACACATAGTTGCATTCCAATTCTTGTACCTCAAGGCATTCCCACAGTTATGTCCTAGGTTTTATATCCAAGCAATCCCTGTACCTACATTTTGGCTTCTCCCTCTTTGCTAGCTTCAGACCATGAATGATTTCAGGCAACATCAATTTCTCTTTTACTTTCTTTATTTTCTTTCATAACTGATTCATTTCCACTTAAGTCTCTAGTTAATCTTGTTTCGGAAAGCATTAAAGAGAATTTAAAAAACCCAAAACCCAAAGGAAGGAAAAGCATCTCAATATTTAGACTTCAATTTTGTATTCGTTTGTTTATAATCAGTGCAACAAATTTTTATTTGTTTCTTTGGCATTAACATAAAAGCACAATTAAGAAGTTGTTTACAGAACTGCAGCAAGATCTGATAAGAGCATTATTTTTTGTGTCTTAAACTGAGTTCGAGCTCCACAGGACTTAATGAGCTAAAAGTCTAAGATTCAAAATGAACAGAGATAAAGGCAGTTAGAGCAGGCAGAATGAAGACAACACATCTGTTCAGTAATTAAACCTCTATTCCAAGAGGCAAAATTTAGACAGAATAAGCTCAAATGGAAGAAGTACCAGCAGAACATTAAAAACTGAAACAATGAAGGGCAGATCAAGCAAAAATAAGTATAAAGCAAAGCAGACAGAAGTCTGAAATGCCACAGGCCCCTGAGGCACCAGGCTGGTTCTCTGGGCTATTTCCCACCACTGCCATATGATAGAGGGATGGCATATCTGGGCCCTACAGCTGGATATGGATTGAACAGCTGTATGGTTCCAGCCAAACCTCACTTTAATTCTACGTTTCTTTGCATAGAAATGACTACTTTACTGTTTCCACCATATAAAATCTAGTAGAAGTTGTTATTATCATGCAAACATATTTACAGGTGTTAGTCCAAAACTGGATTACAATCACAGAAACAATGGAGAGGATGCCCTCACACTATCAGAATATAGATATATACATCCAATTATGTACCACCTAGTTACAAAAATTGTCTTCATGTTTCATCCTGGACTAGCAATACTAGAAAAACAGCTGATCTGAGCCGTGCTATGTTCATGCTGCCCTTGTTTTTCTTAATTTAATACTTTTTGAAGCCGCAGAATGCAAAGGTGCATTTCTCTCTAAAACATCTGTGTCAGGCATAAAGTTCACAGTAAACTGTCATAATTCTGGGTAAATGTCATGTCCACAGCCAAGCCCCACTGTCCAGCTATAAACACAGGAAGTGGTGGTGAAACAGCTGAGGATCAAGTGCCAGACCTGACATGTAACAAAACTCTTGCTCCTTAGTGAAGTGGGAGCTGGGAGCAAGATTTCAGTCACAGTGATCTCAGCCAAAGGCTCCAGCAATAGGAATAAGGATCAAATCAGGTCCAGTGTATGAGTCAAACATCTGTGGCTTCCCAACACGTTCAAATACTGCATGGCAATGCACAAAACCAGAACAGCTGCTTAAGGGTGGAGGACAACTTTTATAAATGAGCAGTCTCCCATACTCTTCATGCTCTGTAATGAGGACTCTCAGGAATGTGTTTCTTTCCTCTGCTGTGACTTCTCTCCTCCACCACCCCCCTAAACAAAGTTCAGTTTGCTAGATACAGCTTCCTGCACAGCTGCAGTGCACGAGGAATACAGGAGATAATGGAAGAAAACTCAAGACCTAACTTTGCAGCCTTTTAAAATGAGGAGAATGTCACCAGTTACCCAGCCCAGTGTATGTGAAGGACAGCTGAACTCTGACATCCATCACTGCACTCCTTTTAGGTGATCAGTGAAAGACTTTCTTCCAGGTTAAGGTACTACAAAAATCCCAGGAATCAAAGAGAACTATGATGGATAAACTCTCCTCTAAAAAAAAAGGGTCACTACACATTGCTGACCAGAACACCACATACACCATGGCTATGGACAGGGGTCTGCAGGGCTTGTTTGCTCTCACAGAAGAGTGGTGATCACCAGTGCTTTTAAATTTAGCTCCTCTTCAAACAAAGTCTATTTGCCATTCAAGCCACACCCTGACTTTAGTCTTTTGCTCATTCATTCATCATATTCTATCTTGCATTTTCAGATTGTGTTCCTGAAAATGAGGAGGCAGGAATCAGAGGTCACTCTAAATCAGATGCTGAGAAACAACAAACTGGAGAGGTCAAAGGTGCTGTGGGCAACTGACTAATAATTATTAATTCTGGAAGTAATACATCACTATAAAAAATATTCAGAATGATAAAAGCCCAACAATAAAATATTTTCAAATAGCATGTGTTTATTTATTTTCTTTTAACTGAGAAAAGTTTTGATTCATTTATTGAATATACTTTCAGAAGAACAGGAACATGTCACAAAATCAATTGCTATTCATTCTGGGGCTTTTGAATACATTAATATCTTTGGACTCATGAGATGGAAATAATGGATTTTTACCACTGCAGTTTCAGTGGAACTACTGCTAAAGTCTTGTCCTCAAATCTTAGAAAGACATAGCTCTCTTACTTGCACATATTCTGTGCAGAACAGCTCCTTAATGCACAACTTACATTTCACTAGAGATGACATCCTTTCAGCCACCATCCACTACACCTTCAAGACAGATTGAAAAAGAAAAGGTACTACTGAGTGTGAAAACCTGGAAATGAGATGCATAATTGCAAGATAAGAATATGAACCTGATGATTTACATGAATGTCTCCTCCTCTATAGCAGGTGTCAGGTAGCAAAAAGGACAGTAGACATTAATCAGAGGAACTACTGTGACCTGTAGTGTGATGCAAAGGCAAATTAAAATGCAGGTGAACCACAGAAGATATTACACTTGCTCAGCTGCTTGGTCTGGTTTGTCTCTTCCTCTGCCACCCGTTCCTCTCACAGCAGTTGCACCTTGGGATCACCCTTCAGATGCAAAGCAACTGCTCCCAGGTGAGTTCAGAAACAGCCACAGGCAGCTGAGGGCAGCCTCAGGCCAGGGGAGCACACCCAGCACTGTGACTAAAGGCACTGGACACTGCCACTCTTCACTGCTCACCAAGGGCCATTGGCTGTCACAGGCTGCAAAGGTCCCTGTCCACCAGCACAGCTGCACAGGGCTGGTACTTTTCAGAGCAAGTCTTCACATTTGTCTGGGTTAAACTTCAGGAGCTTTCTACCTGTGCTTTCCCCTACCTTGCTGAGGTCCTGCTGGGTGGCAGACATACCCTCCAGCTTCTCAGGGTTCCCTCCAATCACTGTCTACTTCATTTCATTTCCTTCATATATTACAAGGGTGTCCAGAGGCACGTTAACCAGCTTGCCAAGAAGGAATACAGTTGGTACATGTGTTATGGCATCAGACAGTCAGAGACTTAAAAAGAAACATGACATTACTGAGGAACAAAGAAGGCATACATGGAACAATAAGGCCTAATAACTTTGGATAACAGCATGGACAGATATAAGTAGAGTTTTACCAATTATGAGATGTGTCATAACCATAAATATGATCTGAAGAAAGAACACTGTTGCAGCCTGTCATAGAGCCCATTGAAGTCCTGGTTTGGCACTGCAGAGTTTTTTCCCCACTGGCACAGAGCCCCTCCATACTGAGGAACAGATGATGAACTCTCCTGACACACTAAGATAAAATTCCTCATTCATGCTAGTAATCCCTTCGTTATTAATTCTTCAGTCATTGCCACACAACATTTTATCAATAGCTTGAAAAAATTTCTATGTGCCCTAC